CCCCAAAAAACGAATCGATTTTAGAAACAAATTTTTCCGTTGTTACCCAAGCCTAATATTTATGTGTAAGTCTTTTAGTCAAAATATTAATCACCCTCTTCCCCACCACAAAAAAACCCCTCTGAGTTCATTTATCCACAGGTCAATGAAGATACTGTTCCTTAACTCGGATCAGAAAATGGACAATTCCTTCTCTTGAGTAGAGTAGCAAAAGGTGAGAGCTTAAAACAAGAGAAGCTAAAACAAGCTTATGACCTTTGCTATTCTCTCCATCCCGCTGCTGCTGGCGTTTTTGAATATCTGGCTGGGAAAATGGCTGCAGCGGTGGTAGCAATTTGGGGCTTCTCCTCAAAGGAGTGCTGAGGGAATAGAGAGGGTTGATGCTTCGGTTAATTACTGTTTTCTTTTGATACCCTACTCAAATAAGGGGGTGGTTTTTATAAAATACAGGTAATCCCCAAATTACAAACATCTGACTTACAAACAATTCACAGTTAAGAACAGGGTGAGACAAAAGGAAGGGAAAGAAATCTATCCCTAGGAAGGGTAATTCACTCTTGGAAGAGTTAACATGGGAAAAGGGGTCTCCACTTAAGCTTTATCACCAATCACTGTTTCCACAAGCCAATTTTTTCAAAATCCAATTCTCACAGGGACAGAAAGTGAAGTGAAATCTTCTGAACAGGGCACAGGCAGCAAAGCAAACACCCCAGGGGTGTCCACTCTTCCATATGCCATCCAAAGTTATTTTATAAATGGCTGAGGTGTTACACTTAAAAAATGGACTTGTTCTGACTTACAAACAAATTCAACTTAAGAACAAATATATCATGTCCGTAACTTGGAGACTGTTTGTATGTGTGTTTTTAAGAGTACCATTCCTTAACTTTTACTTAAAAAATAGGGAACAATACCTTTCTCTAAATTAAATACTGAAAGGCATATTTGAATGCCTGGGTAGGAAAATGGTGGCAACAGTCACAACTTTGGTCCCAAAACCTGCCCTCAATTTATACATGAGATCAATTTCTAGCAAGTATATATGGTAGTTGAGAATAAGTAGCAGATAATTATTTATTTAGTCATTCTAGTGTAGGTCATGCTAACGGCATTTCTCATGGCTCCTAAGTATTCAGAGCACTTAGTAAAATTATGTAGATTTGGCTTGCTTTTTCAAACATTGTTTTTATCATTGCTGAAAACAGTTAAGCTAAAACATTTCCAAGACATTAACTGATTTAAATGTATTCTGATCTTCAAGGTAGTTTTTCAACATTTTCACTGTTGATTTATATAAAATCATTTTTACAAACTGTAAAGTTAAAATAGTTTGTAGTAAGGATATCAACAACAGACTGTATTTTTAAAAGTACTAATTTACCTGAATTAGTTTAAGTAATTCTTCTTTCAGCATTTTTTCATTTAGATTCTGTATGTTCTTCAACAGTTGTTGAACATAAGTACTTAAAATAATAATAGCTTCCTGAGAGTCAAAGAAAGCACGCTCCTTTTCTTCTTTGAAGACATCATAATCACAGATTGGTGGACTAAAGCAAAGGAAGAAGAAGACCACATAATTTTTGATATCAGTAAAAGTTGAAAACAGCACCTGTTATTTTAATAACATAAAATGAATTATATATAACTCAGTTTGGCATACATTATCTTGTTTGATATTAAAAGCACATTTATTCAGAACATAATTATATATTGAATTTACTTAGTAGTACTAGTAGTAGTAATACATTTTATTTCTTACCCTGCCTTTCCCCATGGCTTGAGGTAGGGCACAACATAGTTAAAATACATAAATAACACAAAGAACCACAAACATATATTTAAGAAACATAGAACAAATGTTAAAAGACCATTACTAATACAATGTACATTTAAAATTCACAAGTTTAAATTGACTGGATAGGCCTGCCGAAAGAGATGGGTCTTCAGAAATGTTTTAAATTCCAACAGCTCATTTAGCTGTCGGAGCTGTTCCGGCAGGTCGTTCCAGAGTTTTGGGGTGGCCGATGAAAAGGTCCTCTGGGTGACGGTTGCCAGTCGGGATCCGGCTGGTTGGAGTAGCTGCACTCCAAAGGACCGACGTGTCTGGAGTGGATTGTACAGGAGAAGGCAATCCTTTAGGTAACCTGGACCAAACAATGTAGAGCTTTAAAGGTCAAAACCAACACTTCATACTTTGCCTGGAAACTAATTGGCAACCAGTGGAATGAGTTTTGTATGTTCACTCTTGGATGTTCCAATCTGGCTGCCGTGGTTTGAACTAATTGGAGTTTCCAAACTTAGCACAAAGGTAGCTCAATGTAACGCACATTGCAGAAGTCCAACCTTGAGGTTAACGTCCTTCAATTCTAGGAAGGGGCGCAGTTGGTGTATCAACCAAAGCTGACAATAATCACTCCTGACCTATCTGTTTGTTAAGAAATGGAGCTATAAGGAACACATGAGCTGTAAGAAACTGGTTTAGTTTTACCAAGAAGAAAGCCAAAAAGAGAAAAAGAGAGCAAAATGGGAGGAACAAAAATGTGTTTGTCTCTCAGCTTTCATATGTTCCATCTGATATTCTGCTATTGTATAGAACTAAACTAAAGCAGTAGTGAAGAAAAGGAACTTAAGGACACATGCCACTCAGTTCTAATTGCTTGAATGTTCATTCTCAGCCAGTCCATCCAACAAGTAAATGTACTCACCTCAGAGCAAGTGCTTCATGAATTCGTCGATACATATAACATTCTGTATATAACCAAGGGGATTGAAACCAACTTGGCGGTTCATTTGATAATTTTTTATGATATTCTAAATACTGGTTCCACAGTGTAGTGTCAGGACCATTATCTTTCAAGATAGTCAATGGCTTGTCTGTCTGCAGTTCATTCCGTAGCTTTGAAAGACAAGAGATAGCATGCTTTTCTGCTTCAAGACCTTTCTGGAATGAGACAGGAAGATAATGTCTTCAGTTCAATGTGTGTGCATTCATGATCTTCTTTCTTAAAGAAGAAAACAAATTTAATGTACTTAACATTCATCCAAACAGATGGAAAATTTCAATTCCCTAGAATCCAATTTTGTTTCAGATTGCACATAGAACTAGACCTCCATTTTATTAACAATGACACATAAAGAATGTCAACATTGTCCCTAAGCTTAACAACATGGTTTTTTTCTTAAAGACACAAAATTATCCCAAGAAATCTGTTGATGACATTGTGTGAAACAGAAATTATACCTAATGCATATATGTCATTCTTCACTATGGGTGTCTGTGCATCTGAGACATTATTTTATGGCGGAGGGGGGAAATAATTGTGAGAATGCCTTTCCTATCTTCAAGCACTGCACACTCCCAATTATATAGTGGTAAAGTATTCAGACTCGATGCTGGCAACATCCTAGCAATAAATAACGTGGTTGCAGAAAGGCTGGGGGGAGGGGGGAGGGAGGGAATATCCTTGTTATCCCTTCCTTACTCCTGAAACACATTCCACTTTATGTTGGGAGACACAAACAGGACTGCAAGTTTCATGTTTGGGGCTATCTGGAGCCATCAAACAGAAGCATTTTGTTGCTGGGCTTAGTACAGTCAGCCCTCCGCATTTGTGACACTGACTTTATATATTTGACTAAAATGTTCTTTCTAGGAACTTCCTGGAGAAAGTTGACTATAAAGTCATACTGCATGACCTAGAGACATTCCAAGAGCGAAGTTCTCTCAGGTAAAAATATAGGTTTTTTTCTGTGTGTTTTCCTGTGACCCCTACTCTAGCTGAGGTGACTCTAGTTATTTCAAATACAGAACTTCAGTGGGTCTAGTGCCTGCCAGTTTGGCTGATAAATGGGCCACCGAGAATAAAATAGCAACCTCTGATTATTGTGAAGGACTTTCCGAGTAGGAAACAGTATGTCAATTTGTAAATTAAAACAGAATGTTTGAGAAAAACAAGACCCAAGAATCTTTACTCAGTGCTTTAATAATCTAAATAGTGAACAACACTCAGAGGAAAGAAAGAAAGAAAGAAAGAAAGAAAGAAAGAAAGAAAGAAAGAAAGAAAGAAAGAAAGAAAGGACTTATTTGTCTGATCCCGCTAAAGATTATAAAATCTGAGAGCTGACATCTAAGAATAGGTAAAATGAAGTGAAAAGCATTTTCATTTCCTCGTTATAGTTAAAAGTTTCAGCAGGAAGCGAGGAAAAAAGACCTATCCTGTCATAACCTCTCACCTCTTTGAATAATAATCCATTCAAAATTAGAGTTAGCAGTAAATCTTTGTCTTGCACCTTTAAAAGGGGGGGGGTGTCTCTTTTTCTTTCTTCCTTTTATAAGTTATTCCAATCAGTCAACATCAAATAAGCATTATGAAGTGCCTCTTTCAAAGAGACTGAATTTTCCAAGGGAAATATATATGCCCCTCTGTGTGCTCCCCTTGCTTTTACTAAACGTTTTGCTTCTTCCAATTTATAAATGCAACATAGGATTCCTGACAAATAACAATAGGCAGTGGTTATTGACATACTTGAATGCAGTGGTTTCCACACTTTGGTGTTTTGGACTTTGTATCCAAGAATTTCTGATAGCTGGCCAAGCTAGCTGGGGCTTCTGGGAGATTAAAGTCCAAAACACCTGGAAGACCCAAGTTTGGGTAACTAATGTTATACAAAAACATGTGAATTGAAACTGCTGCCATTTCTCTACAAAAAAACGTAAATAAGCCACAGGAAGCCTCCTTCCAAGACCTTCAGTATCAGTTCCTTTTTTTCTACCCCCTTCACTGCTTTCCAAGTCTTTCTCCAGGAAAACCAAATCAAAAATTTTACACTGTTTTTTCTTCAAATATATGTGAATTCCCAGTTCTTGGCAGTCATAAGGCCAATACTTTCTCATGGCATCTGAGTTTTCAAAATCACCATTTAGAATTCTTTAGTCCTGTTATCATTCAAAATTACTTGAAATATTGTCACCACCACTACCAGTTATAACATCAATGAGTCATTTATTATCACATTGTCTCTTTGGGAAAAGAAGAAAACAACAACAAAATGAAAAGATAAAAATTGGCTTGTCATACAGAAAATAAATAAATTAGCCTATACTACAGTGAAGGGCAAAGAATAAATCCCAAAGATAGCCAACTGATACTAAAAGGAAAGAAGCATTCAAATCTTATATAACAAACCTGGAGAGTGAAGAACTCCAGGGAAGATGAAGAGAAAAAAGGACAAATAAAATTCAATAAAACAGCAAAATGTTCTTACATTAAAAAGAATGAAAAATATAAATTTCTTACTTCTCCAAATTCTTCAAAGAATTCATGTTTGTGTCTATGTAGAGTATCAATAACTTTTGTCAGGATAAGAGGCAGCCTGTCTGTAATTGTAACATACGCGAAGGATCTATAAAGGAAACATTATTGTAAATAATAGGTTTCACAAATGGTCAGAAGGGTTACCTGCCAAATCTAGAAAATAATAGAATTTTTCATTGTGTGTTGCAGCAAGATAAATCATGGTTTGTGATGAGAACTAAACCAGCCTTGTTTGCTCCTCCCCCAAAATGAAGAAAAAGGTAGAAAATGTTTTGCACTGATTTTTTTCTTGCATTTTTACAGGAAAAATGTAGGTTGCAATTGATTGTGTTTACAAAGTACAGGCCATCCCCAAGTTACTACTACTACTACTACTACTACTACTACTACTACTAATAATAATAATAATAATAATAAATGGGGACTTGGAGCGGCTTACATGAGGCCAAGCCCGAACAAGAATTACAATATAACAATACAAATTGCAATAAAATAAACAACATAACATTAAAATAAAACATCAAAGCATATAAAACAATATACACAGAACATAGGAACTAAACATAATAACAAAATGACAGAGGGTATATAAAATGATTTTAAAACTCCAGGTGAGATAAAGGGGCTGAACTAATTGTAAGGGAGAACTCATAGAGATAGGAAAATAAGCAAACCTTCGTACATGGGGGGGGGGGGGACGGGACTCCTGGGACAAGAACATTGGGGGAGCAGTAGCATAAAATTATGTGGCTACTCTCCGAAAGCGCAACAGCAAAGCCAGGTCTTGAGACTCTTTTTAAAGGGTTCCAAGGTAGGGGCTTTCCTGATCTCTCTGGGCAATGAATTCCAGAGTCAGGGGGCCGCAGAGGAGAAAGCTCTCTTCCTTGTACCCACAAGGCGAGTCTGGGAGACTGGTAAGGGCGAAAGGAGGACTTCGGCCGAAGGTCGGAGGGTTCAGGCTGGTTCATGGAGAGAAATAGGTTCTGTAGGTTTTTCCTTAAGTTGAATTTGTATGTAAGTCGGAAAAGGTACATTTTTAAAGTGTAACTCCAGCCATATATATGTGTGTGTGTGTGTGTGTGTGTGTATTAGCTTTGAATAGCATAGGGAAAGGTTGTATGTAACTTTGGAACTGCCTGTTTAAAGATTTCCAATATGTGCCATGAATGGTAATGAAATGCCACCCTTTGCAAGCAAATGGCATGGCTGTGCCAAAGTCACGCGAAGGAGATTATCTCCTAACAAAAACTTTACATAGAATTGGGCCTATCTACCAGGTTAAGTTTCTCGGTGGATTAATATGTTGTCGAGCCTGCTTATAGGACAATAAGATGTGATTCATACATTCAACTTTCTGGTTATTGCATCAGTCCTGTGTCATATGGGGCTCCTGCAAATCTAGCTCCAAGCAATTCAGAGGGGAACACATTACATCTTGGTCAGCCAAAAGATCGATCAAGCTATAGGGATACAACCTGTGGTGGATGAGGAACACTACCCTTGAAGACACAGGTCCGCAGCTTGGGGGTGATCTTGAATTCATTGCTAACTCTGGAGGCCCAGGTGTCAGCTGTGACCAGGATTGCTTTTGCACAGTTAAAACTTGTGCACCGCCTGCATCGTACCTTGAGATGCCAGATCTGGTCACGGTAGTCCATACCTTAGTCACATCTCACATGGATTACTACAATGCGCTCTACATGGGGTTAGCTTTGAAGAGCACTCGAAAGCTTCAGCAGATCTGCAGCCAGACTACTAACGGGGGCTCCATACAGAGAGAGAATCACCCCCATGCTAAGACAGCTGCAATGACACCCAGTTTGCTACTGGGCGAAATTCAAAGTGCTGCTTATGACCTTTAAAACCCTAAATGGCTCTAGTCCAGATTACCTGGCCAATCGCATCTCCCTTTATGAGGCCACCTGGGTGCTATGGTCAGCAGATGGGGTCTTGTTCTCGCCCCCATCTCAAGTATGGCTGGTGGGAACAAGAGAAAGGGCCTTTGCATAAATGGACAAGAACTGGAATATAGATTTGGCTTTTAAATGCTTTTAATTTAATCTTTTGAAAAATCTTATTAAAATCTGTTAAATATTAAATGGTTATAATGTGAATTTGTTGGTCTATGTTCAATTGTCCATTTGTTGCTTGGATAAATGTAAATTGAATTTTATCTTTTGGTATGTGTTATTTTGTATTTTTAAATAGCATTGAATGTTTGCCTCTCTATATGTTGTAAGCCAGCCGAGTCTCCACTGGGGAGATAGGGTGGGATAGAAATAAAGTCTCGTTCATTCATCTTGCCTTAAAGAATAGGCAGTGATATTTGGCAACAATTTCCTGTACTTGATTTTTAAGTTGTTCTGTGAGCAATAATTTAGGTACTTCCTAAAAAGGGCATATCAGGAAGTGGCGTTTTAACTGACACTGCAGAACACTGCCCTCCATCTTTCTTACATTATTTTACAACACAAACAAAGCCAATCCTTAGCAATACGCCTCTTTCTACTTCCTCCTCCTTTTTGGAAGCACAACTCACCCCTAAGCACTTTCTGGCTCAGGGCCCTAAGGGCAAAATCTGTTGAAGGAATGATTGCAGCTGAAGGATGCAAGGAGAAAAGGAGTTGTTCATGGGCTCAAGTGTAGTGGTTTGAGGATTGGGTTAGGACTCTGGAGGCCTGGGTTCAAATCTCTGCTTCCTTGCCATGGAAACCTGCTAGGTGACCTTGGGCAAGTCACTCTCTCTCATAACCTCTTCTGAACCAATCTTGCCAAGAAAACCCTCCGACAGATTTACCTTATAGTGGCCGCAGGTTGAAAACCACTTAAAGGCACAGACCAACAAGCATCACTGAACACAGGCAAATTGGATTCTGAACAAAAGTACTGGGATTGTGCTTATAACTTAAGAAGGGGCTAGTACCCGCAATGGCACAGTGGGTTAAACCCTTGTCACTGCTGAACTGCTAACCTGAAGGTCGGTCGTTCTAATCCGGGAGATGGAATGAGCTCCCACTGTCACCTCCAGTTTCCCATACAGGGAAATGAGAGAAGCCTCCTACAGGATGGTAACACATCTGGGCATCCCATGGGCAACATTTATGCAGACAGCCAATTCTCTCACACCAGAAACGACTTGCAGTTTCTCAAGTCACTTCCAACATGATAAAAAAGAAGGAACTGAGCAAAACCCTAATACTGAAATGGAGAAACCCTGGAATGTGGTCTTCCCTTTTGAAAAGAATGCCATAATTGTTATTACTATTATTCACAGGGATCAAAGCAAAGAGTCACTGCTTATGGAATCATAGGGGAGCCCTGTGATAAAGAATAGCATTAAATATCTTGTGGTGTTAAACCCCCTCCTCTTAATCACTCAGTCTTCCTGTGCAAAACAGAAATTTAGAAAAATAAGTATGGCACTCAGGCAGATGTAGAAGAAGCCAGGCGACAGAGAAGGGGTTTCTGCATCTACATGGTGATTGAATGCAGTCTGACCTCACTTTAACCGCCATGATTCAATGCTAGTGAGTGCTGGGAGCTGGAGTCTGGTGGGGCATCGGACCTCTTTGACAGAAATGGGTAAAGGCTTTCTATAATTACAACTTCCACGACTCCATAGGCCTGAGTCTTCACTCAAGTGGTGTCAACTGGCATGGCACCTATAATACGGATCAGGCCTGGGCAAACTTGGGCCTTCCAGGTGTTTTGGACTTCAACTCCCACCATTCCTAACAGCCTCAGGCCCTTTCCTTTTCTCCCTCAGCCACTTAAGCAGGCCTACTTAACCTTTCCCCAACCTCAGAGGAACGGGACGCACCCCTTATACTTGCCCGCGAGCGAAGCCGGCAGCGAGGACGCCTGTGCCGCCATTTTCAACCGTTGTGACGTCATCCTCGCTCGTCACGCATGCGCGCGAGCGCACACCGGGCGGAGTCGCGCCATTTCTCAGGGAGGCCCGTTCCCATTGGCTGAGCGGCTGGGCCGGCGCTCAGGAACGAACCAATCCGGAGGCGAGGAGGCCGAGGATTCTCTCCGGTGAGGGTCAAAGCGAAGCAGTCGGGGAGGAGGAGAGAGGCATCGGTGGCTGTCACTCAGGCGAGGTGGGCGGGGCTAGAGGGGGCTGAGGCGCAGAATATGACTTCACTCGGTCCACTCCGGAGGGGAAAAGGGAGCCCTTGAGGCTCTGGAGACGGGCCCAGTGACCTCCTGTCTCCAGGAGTAGGCTTGCTTCCTCCCTCTTCTAGGCCAGGTTGGTAAAGGCTCAGCCTATAATCTTGCTCTGAAATCAATTGGTTTAACCCTTGGGAAGCCGAGGCTGGCTTTGTTTTGTGTCAAGTTTTTTCGACACCAGAGATAGGAAACCTCCCTAATTCCTCCTCAGGTTCTGCAGTCTCAGGGCCCTGGCTTCCCTGTTGTTTCTTCCTCTAGCCCTGAGACCTTCTGACTGAATAGCTGCAATAACTGTGACATTTAATTCTGTGTTCATATTTATATATATTTATTAATTGTATGGTTATGAGCCGCATTATGTCTCTGTCCTGAGAGAAAAGTAGAATATTATTAATTGTGTTATCGAAGGCTTTCATGGCCAGAATCACTGCGATGCTGTGAGTTTCTCGGGCTGTATGGCCATGTTGCAGAAGCATTCTCTCCTGACGTTCTGCCCACATCTATTATAGGCATCCCCAGAGGTTGTGAGGTCTATGGGAAACTGGGCAAGTGAGGTTTGTATGTCTATGGAATAATGTCCGGGGTGGGAGAAAGAACTCTTGTCTGCTTGAGGCAAGTGTGGCTGTTGCAATTGACCACCTTGATTAAGAAGCATTTTCTCCTGACGTTTCACCTGCATCTATGGCAAGCATCCTCAGAGGTAGTGAGGTCTGTTGGAAGTAGGAAGATGGGTTTATATATCTGTGGAAATACCAGGGTGGGACAAAGGACTTTTGTCTGCTTTTGTCCTTTGTCCCACCCTGGTCTTAACACAGATATATAAACCCATCTTCCTACTTCCAACAGACCTCACTACCTCTGAGGATGCTTGCCATAGATGCAGGCGAAACGTCAGGAGAAAATGCCTCTAGAACATGGCCATATAGCCCAGAAAACCTACAACAACCCAGTAATTCCGGCCATGAAAGCCTTCGACAATACACCTTGATTAACATTGAATGGCCTTGCAGCTTGAAAGCTTGGCTGGTTGCTGCCTGGAATTCCAGAGAAGAATCAATCAGGGCCAGCTACCTTCTCCCAACAAATAATCCTCCCAGCAGCAACAAGCCAGGTTTTCAAGCTGCAAGACCATTAAGTGCTAATCAATGTGGTCATTTGCAACATTCACACTTGCCTCAAGTTCGTTCTCTCACCCTGGACATTTCACAGATATATAAACCTCACTTGTCCAGTTTCCAGCAGACCTCACAATCTCTGATGATGCCTGCCATAGATGTGAGCGAAACGTCCGGAGAGAATTCTTCTGGAACATGGCCATACAGCCCAGAAAACTCACAGCCACCCAATATTATTATTGTTATGTATATGCCGTTTTTTTCTCCCTTAACAGAGGACACCTCTACACTGCCATGTAATGCAGTTTCAGGTTGCAATGTAATTGCATTGTACTGGTTTATATGAATCTACACTGCCACATAATGCATTTCAGTGCAGTTAAACATCATTTTTTTTGTAAACTGTTTTTATATGTTGTACACCGCCGCGAGTCGCCCTAGGGCTGAGAGCGGCGGTCAACAAATGCATCAAATAAATAAATAAATTATAGAGCAGTGTAGATGGAGCCAGAGACTCATAGCAGCAAATAATACTATCTATCTATCTATCTATCTATCTATCTATCTATCTATTTATCTATCTATCAACTATTTAAAGCATAAAGATTATAAACACTAAAATAAAATTAATAAAGCACTGTTTAAAATAAACTGTTAAAACCATTATTCATTTTAATAATTGTGATGATGATATAGCAATAATAATTCTACTTTAGCAGGCATGCTTATATTTTTGAAAGAGCCATGTCTTCTCAAGATGTGGCCAAAGTATAACAGTCTGAGTTTACTTATCTTGACATTTAGGGAGAATTCAAGTTTGATTTGTTTTATAATTCAATTATATGTCTTTTGGGGGGCTGTGGTAGCACAGCTGGTTAAACCACTAAGCTGCAGAATTTGCTGACCAGAAGGTCAGTGGTTCGAGTCTGTGGGACAGGGTGAGCTCCCGTCATTAGCCCCAGCTTCTGGCAGTCATGCCAGCCACATGAACTTGGAGGCATCTACGGACAACACCAGCTCTTCAGCTTAGAAATTGAGATGAGCACCACCACCCAGAGTCCAACAAAACTAGACTTAATGTCAAGGGGAAACTTTAACCTTTACTATATGTCTTTTTGGCAGTCGAAGAACTCTCCTTCAGCAGCACAAATCAAAGGGGTTTATTTTCTTCTTATCAGATTTCTTCACTGCCCAGCTTTCACAGTCACACATAACAATTGGAAATATAATGGTATGGACATTCGGATCAGTCCTTTATAGCTGCCCTTCCATGTTCTAACCTTTGCCAGATTTCTTGATGGCAGTTTCCATTCTGATTAATTACTGAGCAAGGTACGGAAAATCATTAACTATTTCATTGCCATCTACTTTAAAGTTATGCAAATCACCAGCAATCATTCTGATCCAGTATAACTCTACTCTGTTTCAACCTGAGTGAAAAGAATGGATTCTAATCATGATAAATTAGATTTTCTTTTTTTTTTGTTCTCATACTGAGTAGATCTTGAATTACAGTCACCTGTAATTTCTGACTTATAAAAGATGATTGTAGAGGAGGTATTGTATGGATTTAATTTATCATCCTGCTTGACTTTTCAAATATAGTACTGGTGTTTGAACAGGATTTATCATTTATTAATTGAATTTACATCGTAATGTTTTAGATCTTATTAGAAGTGGAGCCATAAGTTGTGAACTCTAATAAATGTAGTATTTTAATTTTTGCCAGTTAATGAGAAGCAGATGATGGGTTAAAGTGGCAATTGAAGAAACTGAAGCACCCTATATGTTAAAGAAGATTTGTTTTGTTACAAATTGAATTGAATTTTTATTATCTGGATTTTAGGACTCTTTGATTCTCAGAGTCCACATGGCCTGAGAGGGAAGTGACTTCTGCCTCTACTAATAACCCTCCAGATCATCTTAATCGACTACAATGTTTTAAGACACCTTATCAAAAGGTATCTTTCAGGGGGGGAGGGGTTGAAATTTATATTGAGCATTTCCAGTTTGTAGGTTTTTGTTTTTCATGTTTGTTACATTTTACTTAGACAAAGAGCAGAATCCGGTCTATAGCTTGAAGTCATTCCATTGATACACCAACTGTTTTTGACGGGTTCTTTCTCCCAAGTGCTCCAAATGCACCTTCCACTTCATTTTCTAAAATTGTAGATTTGTTTTTCTTCCTTGAATGGATCTGCCATCCTTTCATTTCTTTTGTAAAAACTAGAAAGCATTATTCATAGTAGGTAAAGGTAAAGGTTTCTCCTGACATTAAGTCTAGTCGTGTCCAGCTCTGGGGTGTGGTGCTCGTCTCCATTCCTAATCCAAAGACTTGGCATTGTCCATAGACACCTCCGAGGCCATGTGTCCAGCAAGACTATTTATTTTATTTATTTTTATTTTATAGGCTTGTATACCGCTAATATCTCAGCCGAAGTCGGCGACTCATTGCGGTTTACAACAATTAAAAACAATACCATATTAAAAACATGAAACACAATTACAATACAAATTATTGGGCCACCAATAATAATCCGATGCATCTCGTAACTAAAATCCCAATCCAAATTCGTCGTCCGTGATTGTCAATCCTTTAGTCATCAACATTCGGTTGCAACGTATTAGCCAAATGCTTGTTTGAACAACCATGTTTTCAATCTCTTCCGAAACACCATCAGCGAGGAGGCTGATCGTACCTCTAAAGGGAGGGTGTTCCAAAGCCGAGGGGCCACCACAGAAAAGGCCCTGTCTCTCGTTCCCGCCAACCGCACTTGTGAAGCCGGCGGGATAGAGAGCAGGGACTCTCCAGAAGATCTTAGGGTCCTGGTGGGCTGATAGGCTGAGATACGTTTGGATAGATAAGTTGGGCCAGAACCGTTTAGGGCTTTAAAGGCCAACGCCAGCACTTTGAATTGAGCCCGGTAGCATATCGGCAGCCAGTGGAGCTGGTGCAGCAGAGGAGTTGTATGCTCCCTGTGCCGCTCCTGTTAGTATCATGGCTGCCGCCCGTTGGACTAATTGGAGCTTCCGGGCTGTCTTCAAAGGCAACCCCACGTAGAGAGCGTTGCAGTAATCAAGGCGGGATGTAACCAGAGCGTGGACTACCGTGGCTAAGTCAGACTTCCCAAGGTACGGTCGCAGTTGGCGCACAAGTTTTAACTGTGCGAAAGCTCCCCTGGTCACCGCCGAAACCTGGGGTTCCAGGCTCAGCGATGAGTCCAGGATCACACCCAAACTGCGAACCTGCGTCTTCAGGGGGAGTGCGACCCCGTCCAACACAGGCTGTAACCCTATACCCTGTTCGGCCTTGCGACTAACCAGGAGTACCTCTGTCTTGTCTGGATTCAATTTCAATTTGTTCGCCCCCATCCAGACTACATGGAGCACCGTTATTTTCCATCCGGAGCAGTACCTATTGAACTACTCACATTGCATGTTTTTGAACTGCTAGGTTGTCAGAAGCTAGGCCTAACAGTCCTGCTTGAATCCTGCTCCCCGGATTCAAACCACCAACCTTTCAGTTAGCAAGTTTAGCCATACAGTGGTTTAACCCGCTACGCCTCTAGGCGCCAACTTAATAATAAGAATGGCATTGCTACTTTGGCAAAACTTTCAAGTGTATCTTCATTACTTCCCCATCACAAAAATGAAAAGACTATTGCTTGCGATTCATTCTGACAACACTAACACTCCCTCTGAGAGCAGTAGGCTAATATATGCTTTCAAGTGATGTCAAGGATTTCTCTTGACACACGATATAAATATTTCCCATGCTTCTGTATTTGTTTCAAGGATTATCTTGTAAAGTATGTTGATGTGAGGACAAGTTCCAAAGTTTCTTTCCAGTTGTCCTATGATGAATTACGTGGATGTCTGCACAGATTCTTTTCATCCTTTCCTTTCATGACAGCAGTATCCCTGCTTAATCCTTTCTAGACAGGATTAAGTAAACATGTGCTTGCTGTCCTCCCACCTCTGAGCAGGGGAGGAGTTATTTTTTTTCTGGATGCCCACACCAGCTTTTCTCCTCCATGTTCCAATCACAAAATGGTATGAGTATTTTTGTCGTGATCGTTTGCATTGTGTGGAGCAAGAATTACCCCAATTTTTGTTCCAACCTCTTTTTTGTCTCTCAAAAATGCACATGGCAGGTGTCTAAAAATTCAGAACATAGTTTAAAACCATTGTGCTGGCAATGTCATAACATATCTATCTTGCATGTATAGCTAAATAAAAAAGGGAATATCTTTTCGATCTATCATAGAGAATGTCTTTAGAGCTACAATGCAAACTTCTCCTGTGATTATTACCTAAGCACTTCCTACAATTATCTCCTTAAAATTTAATTTCTCTCTTACCTCATAGCAAGCTTCTTTATTTCCTTCCCAAAAAGGTCCAGCCTAGTTCAGGACTGCAACTTCTCCATTTGTAATTTTTTTCTTCAGAAATCATGTGGCAATCAATTCACCTCTTAAGGTATACATTTATCCAGCTTAACCTCACAGCCAACATTTAAGGCCATTGGATGAACTTTAGGTATGCCTAGTTCACTATTTGCTGTAGTGGCCTTGATGAACTCATTAGGTAACTCATAGCTTATTTGAAGACAGTATCTAGATGTCTGTCCAAAAGTTTCAACCACTAGCATTTGGAGGATTAAAGTCATTCTGTTGTAAGGAAAGACACTGTTCTCTTCTAGAAGTTTACAAATCTGTAAAATGTTCAGGACTTAAGCCTCATTTTGAGGAATTACCATTGCCATGTTGTGTGAAATGCACCTGTTGTTTTAGTATCTTCTGCTTCCTTTGAAGCTAAAATGAACTATAGCAATTAATGAGATTGATTTGTAGAAAATTGCAGTGTTGATATTTGCTTTTGTAAAATGCTAAAATATCTTCTTTTTCGGAAATGTGATATTCTATAACTCTCTCATCCAGGTCACACAGAAAAGATGGCAACTAAATTACTGAGATTCCTCACAAAATCTCCGCATACAGTAAGACGTTGTCAACATTTTCACAAAAATGGGTATCTCACTTCAAGCAACATTTTTCAAGGGATATCCAGCAACCCTCTCTCTGAAATGAGATACATTTCTCAGTGCATTCCAAAGGCAGCTGCTTCTTGTTTATCTGGTGTTTGTGTACCTGGTAAGACTTGTTGGAGGTGGAGACCACAATATAATATTACTACTGCAGCAGAGATTGTGAATTATTTGGCTATGGATACTTGTTTTCCATTCAGAGAACAGTCCAAGTTTAAAACAAATTACATGCACAATTCCAATTTTTTAAGAAAACCTAGTGCTGTACCAAATAGATGTTACTCAGTTTTATCAACAAGTGCAGTTATGCCAAGTCAAGGTACTGTGTCGGTGAAAAGGCCACCAAAGGCATCCCGGACTAAGCAGCCATCTAGAGCTAACCTACCACTACCATCTGAAACTGAGGTAAACTTTTTTTTCACAATTGTTACATAGGGCAGACTTTTCAAATAATGTAACTAATGTTGCATTCACCCAGGTGCTGTTTATAATCAAGTTACATTGCGACAAGTGAGGGCTTTTCATGAATTGTCGTTTTGTAGAATACAGTATGCTTCAAGTTTCCATGTCACTGAAAAGCAAACCACCTTCTGCAAACAGTAATGCTTTAAATAACTTTTTGGGATGAAAATGGTTCCTGCAGATACCATTTTCTATTGTTATTGGATTTTTTTCCAGTTAAAAAAATACAGGACAAAGTTTCAGAATGGATGAAGGCATAAAGCCTTTTCAGTAAAAGCTGCCACATGGAAAAATCTTGCGCCAGATATCACACTTGGACATAGTATTTGAGTAAAAAATTAGCCCTTTTCTTTATTGCATAGCTCCACCTGCTGGTACAGAAGTGCTCAGGTTAACGCAATGGCATTCTGAAGCTGGCGGGGGGGGGGGCACAGACTCCTTTTAGAATTTGCATGAAGTTATGAGCACCACTCCTCCTGAAAAATGCACTTAAACATTATCTCAAAGTAACAAGAAGAAAAGCAAATAAAAAAATATATATACAGCTCACTGACTACTCCTGACCTGTGATTTGCCAAACCTGTGATTTTTGCAAAGAGTAAAGTTTTACATTTACACTGGAAAACAAAATATTAATCTGAAATCTTAGTGAAACCATAAATTCTAAGACTGCTAATTAATCTATATAAATAAAAATGTAATGTTCATTTGTGGGATTAACATAACTCAATTGACACCAAATTTGGACACAATACACCTATCAGGCCAATGTGTGACCATCATACTGAAAAACACAGGGAAAGAGGCTTAAAAAGCCAAAAAACAAAAATTACATTACAACGCAGGTGCAAAACCACATATGTACACACACAAAACACATATATACAAGCTGGGCCACAGCTACGTGTGGCAGGGGATGGCTGGTAGACTATATAAAGCAAGGCTAACTTTCAAAGTGCATATATATATATAGCATATAAACTGAGTCTCCTGAATATTGCTTTTTGAAGGAAGGAAGAGGATTTAAAGGATAAAACTTGAGAAGCAGCTATGTCCTGTAGTATCCAAACCATTTACTTGTAGCCCAACCTTAAGCATATTTGCTTGGAAGTAACCCCACTAAATTCACTTGGGCCTGCAGTTTAGGAAGAAAATAAAGAGTCCTGTTAGATCAGACCAGAGACCTATCTGGACAAACATTCTGTTCATACAGTGACCAGGTGTGTGGCCATGAGAGGTCCACAAGCAGAATATGAATGCAGTGGTATTCGGCCGTTCATGTTCCTCATCAGGTGACACTTAAGGGTATATTGTTTCTGATATCCAGTTAATCTATCCATCAGGACAAACTAGTATGTTTTTCCTCATTTCAGGAAGCTTCCAGAGGATATTTGTCCTTTTTTAAAAGGAGGGAAGAGAAGTAGTTAGGAGGCATGTTGTAATATTTTCTAGCTAATTTCACTCCAGTGTTGTTGGTGAAATGTGTGGAGGTTGGCTTTTAATTATTCGATTTAATTAGATGCCGTGTATAATGTATGAAGTGTAACTATTTTATTGTCTAGATTTTTAACCACCATTTCCAAAATGCTAGTATGAATTTGCTTGTGGTATGACGGTTAACATTTTGATGCCAGAGCTCATAGAACACTTCAAGCCTAATACATGTCCTTTAAACACAGCGCTTGATTGGTTTTGAAAAAAAACTAAACTTTGTTCTTTTGGCACAGGATCTGATGCAGTGCACAGCCTTTGCAACAGCAGATGAATATCATCTTGGTAACTTGGGCCTTGACCTGGCATCACGTGGATATGTTGAAATAACAACATTACCCAGAGGTAAATCACTTCCCCACTCCCGCTTCTGTTGAAAACGATTTGTATTTTGAGTGTAAGAATCAAAGTACTTGATAATAATGGACTGCTCAAAACCTAACAAAATCCGTCCCATACCTCTGTAGTTTTGTGCACTCACGTTATTAACTCTTATTGTTTGGGGGGAGGGGGAGGTTGGGGGGGTATTAGAATGACTTCAGAGGAGGTTTGTTTTTACCTTTTCTGAGTGACCCATAATAAAGTACAGTATCTGCTAGGGTTTTGTTACAAGGGCCTCCCCACTCTAATTTAAGTCTCGTTATAATGCAGTGTCCTACTAAATCTATGTCCCTTATATCAAATGGCAAAATCAGGGCTGCTTTTTGGATTTAGTTTTTAAAAAAATATTTCAAGCCATGAGTGTTTGAATCTGTGGATGCAGAATCCAAAGATATGTACAGTGACTGTAGTGGGATGTGGATTTCTGGATAAACATAACAAGGAGGTTGAACAGGATGAATTACTTGAGAAGCTAGGATTGCTTTTAGATGAACTTTAGATAATTCAAATTGTAATAAGAATTTAGAAAATGGTAAGGAGGGTGACTAAAATGATCAAGGGTCTGGAGAACAAGCCCTGTGAGGAGCAGCTTGAAGAGCTGGGCATGTTTCGCCTGCAGAAGAGAAGGCTGAGAGGAAACATGATAGTCATGTATAAATATGTGAGAGGAAGTCATAGGGAGGAAGGAACAAGCTTATTTTCTGCTGCCCTGGAGACTAGGACGCAGAACAATGGCTAAAGGAAAGCAGATTCCACCTGAACATTAGGAAGTACTTCCTAACTGTGAGAGCTGTTCAGCAATGGAACTCTGCCCCAGAGTGTGGTGGAGGCTCCTTCTTTGGAAGCTTTTACACAGAGGCTGGATGGTCATCTGTCGGGGGTGCTTTGAATGCAACTTTCCTGCTTCTTGGCAGGGGGTTGGACTGGATGGCCCACGAGGTCTTTTCCAACTTGATGATTCTATGATATACATTATTACCCACATGGGTTGTAGAAGCTAAAATTCTTAATTCAATATATGTTTTAATGTATACATCTATTTTATTAGATGGCATGTTTCAATTCAATTCAACCTGGAATTGAGTTGTTAAGCCACTCTGACTCCCCTTCGGGATGAAAAGGACAGGGTATAAATACAGTAAAAAATAATAAGAAATAAGTTATCATATACAGTCAAACACAGTTCCAGCAGATGGATAGTTACTTAGATGTAAATGTCATAATATCAGGCTAAAGATGTTGAAGACTTTTGCTGAATCATATTTTGAGACATTACATCTGTTTTATCCATTAGATGCAGCAAATGTTTTGGTAATTGGGACAGAAAATTCAATGAAAGAATATGATCCTGGTGTGATTTTTTTCTTCAGGTAAGTAAATCAGTAAGGTGCAGGTGAATGCCCCCCCCCCCCCCCCCCGCTTTTTAAAAAAGAAAAAAAATTGAAAATAATAGGTTTAAGTACTCTATTAGAAAATTGCATTATATAGTGCTTAGAACTGCCTATCCCTGTGCATTCTATATATATTCTTGCTGGCCTCTTCCTGCATTAGATTAGATTAGGAGAAAAAGAAACCTTTAAGTTACAGTCCTTCAGTTTTAATATCTCCAGATATGCATACTTGTTTAATGTAAACCCACAACTGGTTAGAACTGTACTATAGGAAGTCTGGCTTCTTTGGTCTTCATTTTGTTATAAATTGATTTACAATAACAATAGTTTTAAAATGTTTGTTCACCTCTGACGCCTTATAATAGAAACAGCACTTAGGTAACTTAATCAACGGTTGGTTGGCCACTTTAAGGCCAGACTGCCAATAGAGGTCATTTTTCCTTTCATATTTTAATAAGAAGCCTAATGCTCCTTTGCAATTCTCTTACTACAGGGAAGGCTCTGTTGTGTTCTGGAATGTTGAAGAAAAAACGGTAAGTGAAAGGGACATTTTGTGAAACGAGTTACATTCAATGAAACTGTTATTGTGCCTTCAAGTCATTTCTAACTTATGCAGACACTAAAGCAAATTTATCACAGAGATTTCTAGGCAAAATTTGGTTTGTCTTTTTGCCTCCTTCTGAGGCTGAGAGTGTGACTTGACTAAGTTTATCCAGTAGGTTTCCAGATAGAGCAGGGATTTGAACCCTTCTTTCCAGAGTCAAATTGTAATGCTCAAATCACTGCATGATGTGGTGCTGGCTTTCTAATAAAGCAAAAAGTGTTTAGCAAGTAAATAAATAAATAGAATAAAAGTTGATTAAAAAGTAAGGAGGCCTAAAGGCAAGACTCTGGTGAAAAGATAAAATGCACAGCTTATTTCCACTTCGTAGTGAAACATTGAATGGAAAACATAGGATGTTTTCCTGCATGGCCTTGGTGCCAGGGAATTGAGGGTGAGCCAAGGAGACAATTGCTTTACATAAATGAATGATTCTGGGAAGGGTTTGGGATCTTACAGATTGATCAAGGCAACAAGTGAATCATCACAAAATACTTCAACAGTAGCTGTGGTGATTACTTAAAGACTAAATAATTGCATTAATATTGGAAGAGAGGGGTTATAATAATGGTTTAAGCCAGTGTTTCTCAACCTGGAGTCGTGATGGGGTATCAGAGGAGTCACCAAGGACTTTCTGTTGGTCATGGGGGTTCTGTGTGGGAAGTGTGGCCCAATTCTATTGTTGTTGGGGATCAGAATGCTCTTTGATTGTAGGTGAACCACAAATGTCAAGGTCTATTTTCCTCAAACTCCCCCAGTGTTCCCATTTGGGCATATTGAGTATTCGTACCAAGTTTGGTCCAGATCCATCATAGTTTGAGTCCACAGTCCTCTCTGGATGTAGGTGAACAACAACTTCAAAGCTCAACGTCAATGCCCACCAAACCCTTCCAGTATTTTCTGGTGGTCATGGGAGTTCTGTGTGCCAAGTCTGGTTCACTTCCATCATTGGTGAAGCTCAGAATGCTCTTTGATTGTAGGTTAACTATAAATCCCAGCAACTACAATTCCCAAATGACAAAATCAGCCCCCCCCCCCAAATAGTAATCAAATGTGGGCGTTATCGGGTGTTTTTGCCAAATTTGGTCCAGTGAATGAAAATACATGCTGCATATCAGATATTTACATTACGACTCATAACAATAGCAAAATTACAGCTATGAAGTAGCAATAAAAACAATTTTATGTTTGGGGATCACCACAACATGAGGTACTGTATTAAGGGGTCGCACCATTAGGAAGGTTGAGAAGCACTGGTTTAAACAGTCACAAATTCCATCTTAAATTACAAAATTCCCATGTTATATAAAGTGATCATATTGTCGTCCCTGTGCAGCAATGCACTATTTGCATTGCTGAAGCAAAGTTGTGAATCTCATTCGAACTTTGGGAGCAGATCTATTTTATTATTGGAAATATACTTTACCATTTTTTCCAGCTTTACATTGTTGAAATCAGCAGTGCACTTTTTATTACCGTTATTTCCTTTTCATCTAATTTTTCCTTAATACATGAGCTATGTTGAGTTCTCCAATCTTACCCATCTTTTTGACTCGTCCAAATTAAATTCCAATAGTCTAATTGGAATGCCTTAGAGTAACTGTAGGTTTGGGGCTCCCCAACCTCCATTCTCTTCTGGTGAGTATAATATTGACTTGGAGATTCTATCCTTATTAGCCCCTGCTATCCAACATTTAATTGAGTTGTCCCATTTCTTTATTATTTTGCCTGGAATGTTAAATGGTAGAATTTGAAAAAGGAACAATATCTTGGGTAAAATCTTTATTTTACAAACCTTTATCCTGGTTGTGATATCCAAACTGCATTTTTTCCATTTAAGTATTTGCTTACTTATTTTTCCCCATAATTCATTGTAGTTTAGTTGAACTATATTATTTAGATTATACGCCTCAATAACTTAACTTCTTTTTCCCGTTTTACCCCAGAGTGATTTGTGCCTCTTTTAATTCTTTCCAGTTTAAGTTTTTATGTAACATATCTGATTTTTCAATGTTTGTAGCTAATTCTGAGATATTCTTAAATGTTTAAATTATGCTTGTTATTTCCTTTACAGATTCCTCTAGTGAACCTAATAATAACATTGCATCATCTGCATATAAATTTACTTTTAGATATTCCTTCCCAATCATATTCATTTATTTTGTTTTTGTTTCTAATTAGCGAGGGGTTCTATCACCATCATAAAATGAATTGGTGAAAGGGGACATCCTTGCTTTGTTCCCCTTTCAATTTTAATGGTTCTTGTTTTAATATCTTTCAGTCTGTTATTTAAATTTTTTGAAAATTTTATAATCCACATTGCATAGTATTATTGGTCTATATGGGTTTATTATTAGGTTTTAATATTTTTATTATTTCTGATCTTTTTTTTAAAAAAAATCTCATTAAATAGTGATAGTAGGTTTGAGGCAACTTCTACTTGGAATATTTTATTAAAATTAGTGGTAAACTCATCATGGCCAGGAGATGAATTTGATTTCAAATTTTTGATCAACACTTCTATTTCATTATTGGTATGATGATTCCATCTGAGGGTCTTTTTTTTAATTAGAACATCCGAACTTTCAGTAATTATGTAAATTCAAATATTATGTAAAGTTTTTTCATAATAGCTTGCCATAATTTCCTTTAAATCCTCCTCCTTTGTTTTTAGTTGTCCTTTTTCATCTCTTAATTTACTGCTTCCTTCTTTGAGTTGTTAATGAAATTAATCTGAAAGTCGTTTTTGACAGATAATCAAAATTTTGTAAATAAAAATGTTTTAAAAGTATTTTAAAATATATATTTAAATGATTATCTCTAAATTGTCTAATTGTGTTTTTATCCCCCTCCATTTTTCTTTATTTTCTTCTATAGGGTCTTTTTGAAAGGCTTGAAATATTTTTTAACCCCCCCCCTCCCCGGTTTAATTTATCTACCTTACTTTTTTCTCTTTTCTTGATACTTTTTTATTTTATTTTGTCTTCCCTTATTTCAGGTGTTTAGTTTAAAGTATTAATTAATTTCCTCCTTCAGTTCTTGTCTATCTTCTTCTTTAAGAGAAACCAAATGGTTAAATCTCCACCTTTTAAAGTTTTTGGGGTGTTGTCTTCCAGTTTTAAAAATAAGGGTGCCTGGTCCCCTGGCTAATAATTTGAGAAAGAGTTTACCCCCCCACACACACACACACACACACACACACATTACTCTCCCAGATACTAAAAAATCATTACAACAGATTATTTTTTGGTAGAGAACTATAATGTTTTGCCTATAAAAAAAACTTAACGGTGATCTCATTGTATTTGTCAGCAATTTTAATAAATTGTACATTTCATTTTCTAGATGAAGAATATAATGCAAATCCTGGAGAAGTATGAAATTCAGCCATATGAAATTGCATTAGTTCATTGGGAGAATGAAGAGATTAATTACAGGAGAGGAGAGTAAGTTTCTAAATGTCTTAGATTTCACAAAATCTAGAATTTAATTGGGCAAATAAGAACAGGAACCATTGGCGTATATTTGCTTCCTGAATGTATTATCTTCATTTTTCTGCCAGAGCAGTGGTTCTCAACCTGTGGGTCCCAGATGTTTTGACCTTCAACTCCCAGAAATCTTAACAGCTGGTAAACTGGCTGGGATTTCTGGGAGTTTTAGGCCAAAACACCTAGGGACCCACGGGTTCAGAACATCTAGATGTCCCAATGAAGCTTTTTCCAGATTTTCTTTGCAGAATTAGAAGGTATCATTGCTAGTGTAAGGAATGTAGACACATCAGGGAAAAAAAGTTCAAAAGAAATGTAGTGGATAATTGCTTTATTCGCACCTAGTAAAATACCAAATACAAATACATGTGTTTAATTTTAATCTACTTTCTCATCTTGAAATTGGAATATAATAACAACTCTGAATTATTTTTTTTCATGGAAACAGCTAACTGCCATTTCCACCCAACCCGTGGACAGGATTCCTGTCCTAATTCCCCCTCACCCCAGAGGTCATTTTCTCAAAAAGATGGGGACGAGAGAATGGCAGCCATTTCTTTCTCAAGGAGCAGTGGAAACATACCCCACTCAGTCACAGGAACTGCTTCCTAGTAAATGGGACTTGGGAGACTTTCGCTGTCCCTCGTAGCTACTAAATTAGGGTTTGTGAATACATAGCAGTCACAAATACATAACTCCAGGTTATGCATTCATAACTGCCATAGAGGATTCCTGCTGCCATCATCATCATCCTTTTGAATGCTAATCCCAAATCAAGTTTCCTGTGCTTCCACTTACATAGCCCAAATTGCACTACCCATAAACTATAGGATACCAGTAGACTTGGAGTTTTCAGATTTTAGTCTGGGAAAAAACTTGAATCAGTCCCTGCAAACCCAGTTGCATGAGATGCAGAGAGAGTAAGAAAAAAACCCAGACAACTGTAGTAGGGAGGCTGAATAGAGTTGCAGGAACAGAAGGACGAATGTTTTGTGTATACCGGAAAGATTTACTGTCTTCGTATTTTTTTTTCACCTTCAAGTTATTTGTTACTTATGTGAACTCTAAGGTGAAGCTATCATAGGGCTTTTTTGCAGACAGTTCTTCAGAAGCTGTTTGCTTTACCTTCCTCTGAGACTGAAAGGTGTAACTTGCCTAAGGTCATCCCACGGCTGAGTGGGGATTTGAATCTTGGTCTCCAGAGTTATATTCCAATGTCCAAACCACTACTCCATACTTACTCCCCATTGATAGTGTAGCTCCTGGTTTAACTGAAAGCTACTTTCAAATTACCACAAGGGTAGAAGTGCAAACTCACCATAGAAATTATTTAAAAAACCTAATATTTTAGTGCAGTTGGATTTAGGACCAGTGTGTCCACCACACTATTCCTTTAAAATTCTGAATGGAAACACTAACCTTTAAAAACAACCCTGCTAATTGAAATTGAAAAGCAGTTCACCATCCCCAAATTGCAGATTGAAAAAATGTATTATGGGAAAACCTGGCAAACAGGTTAGAAGGTGAATGCAATGGTACAATTGGACACAGAAGAGACAGATAGATGCACAAACACAACTATACCATTGCAAGATGGAACAAAAGGAAAGACATGAGTGTCCTACTTACAGCAGGGTATATTGTTGTTTTCTCAACTTCAGACCTTTCCTCTTCAGCACATGTATTTCACTAGTAGATTTCTCCTGATATCTCAAATAGATAATGATCATGATCCTCCATTGGACACATAGCTATGATGCCATAGTTACATTCTGTCCTCTGATCCAACCCCTCCCATACCAACACACAAAATAACCCTCACCTCAGAAGCCAGACAGCAATGCCAAATGGAGAGTAATGTGATGGTTATGAGTGGGAACTGAAAGATTATGCTTCCAGTACCTTCCCACCAGCAAGCAACAGTGCAGTGAATAGAACCAAGGATCCTTCCAGCTTCTGTGCATATCAAAGTCCTTGTTATCCCATAGTCTGCTAGTGGGAGGGAGCTGGATGCGTGATCCTTTAGTGCCCTGTTAGTGCCAAATAACGCTTGGCTTTTAAGGTCAAGAACATTGTGCCAAGATCACAAATGTGAATAACAAAATGATTACAAGATAATGTGTCTAGTTTGTGGCATGTTATTTGACTAACAGAATGCCAGACAATGTTTTTATTTTGAAGTACTTACAAGAAGCACTTCAAAGAAAAAGAAAAAAAAACTATTTTCCAAATAATTTGCTCAGTAGCCTTGTGTTCTGATTAATAGTTTTTGCAAAAGCTGCTGAACAAAAGCTAGACAAGCTTGTTTTCTCCTTTCATTTTCTGTGACGGGAATAAGCTTGTGCTTAGGAGACATGGATTAGCTTCTTGCTCATACTTGTATTCTAAAAACATACTAATAGCTATATGACTAATACCCTTGTGTAATGAAGTGTTTTAAGGTAAAATCTATTTTGGTTCATTTGGTCAATTAAGGCATTCTTACTGCTCTTTACAGAGGACAATCAAAGCTTCACAGAGGAGAAATACTGATAAATTCAGAACTTGATGCTGATGACGTCACACTTGAAAAGTTTGCTTTTTCAAATGCCCTTTGCCTTTCTGGTAAGTTGTATATTGTAGCAGGCATTCAAACCACCAATTTGTGAGTGGATGTTATATATGGGATAAGTAGAAAACAATCATAGGGAATTATGTGTACTTATCACATACTTAGTTGTTTCCTTCCCAGCCAGCCCCTGATACTAACTAGAATTGGAAAGCCTGTGGCCCTCCAGAAGCTACTGCACTTATCTGCTCCATGAAGCCTAGTTTTTATAATCAATAGTCAGCAATATTTGGATGGCATTCATTGACGCATTTCAGTTTATATAGCTGGAGTGGACAGAATCCTTGGAAATGTGAGGTTTTGGGAAAAAACCTACAGGATCTTTGCTCTTCCTGGCTTATATAATAGCTTACGAATGGCCAGCTGGGTAAAGGAAACTGCACAACAAGGATGGATTGTGTCATACATAAAGAGGGAGTGGTAAGACCTTATCTTAAATCAAAATGGTTGGGGTTTTGAGATTTGCAAGTCCCACTGCTTCCAGAGGTATCTTTGGTGAGGATGCAAGAGAAAGCATTTTACATGACTGCTCCCAAATACAGAATTCAGTTGTCAAGGGAAGTCAGTTAGCCCCTCTGTTCTTCCACCAATCAGCAGAGATTTTTTTGTTCTGATAAGGACAGAGATTTTGCATGGGTGAACCTCAATGGTTTGATTCCTTTTATTGAATAATGAAATTTGTCTTACCTTTGTGCTATAACTAGCTTTTCTATTATTTTTACAATGTTTATCGTTGTTTTCCATTATGTTGAAATTTGTCTTGTCCTCAGCGATGAGAGAAAGCCAGAACAAACATTAAATAAACAGGGGAAATATAGTTCAGCCAGATCTGGAGGCCACAGGTTCTTACCTGAATAATTTTTATGAATGTATACAATCGATAGCATTTGTGATCACATATTACCATAGTATAATGCAAAACAGCTACTGCAACAAAGACCTCAACAACTGCATTTTTGAAGTCAGTGTTGAAGCACACTAGCCAAGTAACCTATTATGAACAATTCACATCTCACTTCAAGATATTATATACATTAAATAGGGAGAAAAACTCAACTCCCTCATTGTATATAATTTAAGACATGTCATTAAAATACTCTAATTTTATTCTGTAGCTCAGTTACATATTTTGCAGCATATAAGAATACTTTTTATTTCCAATAAAAAGTAGATCTCAGGACATGCAGACCAAAGAAATAATATGAAAAAATAATGATTAAGTTTCCTTTCCCACTGTCACTATTAGAATCAAAATTGAAACCTTCTGCATCACTGTGACATTTGATCAAGGGTGTCCTGCCCGTTATGCCTTGTAACCCTTAAGCATATCTTTTAAAACGCAAACCAGACCAGTATCTGAAAACAACCATTATATAATTTCAGGTAAGAATTTTGTGGCAATATTTAAATGCAGTGAACATGAATAATAAGTCTTTTGTACTTTTCTCTAATGTAGTAAAACTGGCCATTTGGGAAGCATCAGTGGATAATTTTGTAGAATCTATCCAGTCAATACCTGAGGTATTTGCTACTTTTTTCACTTGTCCTAAAAAGTAGGAGTGCATTTGAAGGCTTTTAGCTATATATTAGCAAGTACAAGATGCCAGGATTTGTTAATAGCATGGAATAATTAAAATTTGTCTGTCAGGTTTCTACTCCAAATTTGTATTGTGACTGAGGATATACAGAATTTTTTTTCTAATGCTTTAGTTCGGGGTTCCTAGACAGCCCTCCAAGGTAATTTACACACCCCCCCCCCAATCTAAATTTTAGACTTGGGGTTACCTTAAGTCTGAAATGACTTGACAACATGACAACAACAATCCTAATTAACTTGACTATGTCACCAGCCAAAAGCCGTCCCAAATTTCCCATTGAAATACTAGTAAGTTTATGTTGGTTAAAACTGTTCTTCATTCTAAGTATTGTATTGTTCTTTCATTTTTTGCATAACAAATATATGTGCAATATGCATAGGAATTTACTCATGTTTTTTAAAAACTATAGCCCACCCCCCAAAATAGTCTGAGGCACTGTGAACCGATCATCTGCTTTAAAAGTTTGAGGACCCCTGCTTTAGTTAAACCCTATTTGAAGTATCCTATGAGGATATTATATTCCTCAAATACTGTTTACCTCAAATTAACCATGGCCTCTAATGTGGTCAAACTTCTGTTGAGATAGTAGTGTGACCCACTACTATCTCAACAGTGTATAGTGTATAAAAGAGGATGAACCTAGTTTCTCACACTTAATTGAAGACATATTTTTGATGCCTGGATAATAGCAAGCCTGTAATGTAACTCTCAGGTACAGTCAGCTGATAGATAGCACAAGCTCTTTTCCAAGAATGAATAACTATACCAGCCCTCTAGACCAGTGGTTCTCAACCTGGGGTCCCCAGATGTTTTTGGTCTTCAACTCCCAGAAATCCTAACAACTGGTGACTGGCTGGGATTTCTGGGAGTTGTAAATCAAAAACATCTGGGGACTCCATGTTGAGAAACATTGCTCTAGATCCTGTTTCATGGTTGTTGGCAGCTCAATATTTGCTCCTCAGCTGTCAAAAATTCCAGAAATGCAAGTTTTTCAATTGCAAAAAAGTCTTCATTCTATTGAAAATAATAATCTAATCTTAAATCTAAATCCAGAATCAGATGACATTTGGGGAAATACACTGTGTCGGTTCCACTTATTGATTCATTGGGTCGACTCTGGATTGGAATTCAGTAATGGAGCCATGAGGACTGCAGATAAGGTGTGGGGCATGTAGGCAGCCCATAGGCTGTTGGGTGTTTAAACCTGGTTTAACTGATTATATCTTGAGATTTCATGTTGTTGGTGTTAGCTATGTCTGGTAGTCCGAGCACCAAAGGATTTTCGTGCAACCGAGTTAAATCATCTTATATTTCCCTCTTAAGAGCAAAAATTATTTGTTGCTCTTTTCAGTGACTTGAGTCTAGAGTTTGTGGAAGCAGTTTATAGAATGGGATTTTCTGCACTCTTCTCCCAACCCTGCTTGTACAAGCTTCTGTTGTCCAGTTTTCTAAGATTTCTCCTGAATGAAATTACATCACAACGCTGGCCCTTCCTGAAGGTCCTCCAAGGAAATGGAAAACCCTGACTGCATGAGTGACTTCTGCTGATACAGTCTATAACTCTAAACTAGCAAATCTGTGAAACTGACTAACAACAACTAAAATAGAAGTGTAATTTTACATTGATTCAGGATTGAGTGACAGTTAACATGTGAGGAACACCTCTTGAAAAAGGAAATTATCAATTGTATGTTCAACAAAAATATTATGAAACAATTTTAAGAGAATTGGAGGTAATGCTGTAAAACATATGGGATAAAAATATGCTATAAATTAAATAAATGAGTAAAATTTATCAGCTGCTGTTGTATCCTAGATTAAAAAGTTATTTGCAAAATATCATTGCTCAATGGCTTATTGCAATCTTGTTACAGATACTAAAATTAAGAAGGAAGGTTAAATTGTCTCATGCAGATGTAATGCAGAAAATTGGGGAGCTGTTTGCATTAAGGTATGACATTAACTTTAAAAAAAGGAAAGAGTTTTGTTAACAACCAACTTTAAAGAAGAAATGCTATGACTATGTGTGTGGTTGTTCCAGGAGAGGAACAAGGGCATCTTGATGCACATTGCTACTGATTTTTGCTCTATATAGATAACCAAAACCAAGGCCTTCACAAAGGACTTAGTGAGGTGGCATTCCACAAAAAGCAGTCATGGTTCTGAGTGTTACATAATAGCATGTTCTTTCTCATTTCTCTTTTTCAAAAATAAGAAATGCAATAGAAGAACTCAAGGAGCCACATTACACTTCACACATCTTACAATAATCATTTTTTTAAAAATGGAGTATGTCTCTGATCAATTTGTGCCTAATCACTAGCATTTAGATTACTGGAAATGTTACTAAAGTTGTTGAGGAACTTCTTGTAATATTCCTACAGAGGGCATAGCTCTTGATATCTCTATATGTAAAAGGCACAATGGTAAATGAAAGCTTAAGAATCTGGCTTTATTACAACAGTGGAAAGTTCTGGTTTTTGTTTTTTGGGTTTTTTTACATTATGAAAAACACTCACACTGCTCTTAGTGATATGCATTGTTTAGGGTTTGGAACAAGGATAGTGATACTCATGGTTTTGGAAGGACTGCTTTTTTGTTAGTACCTTTTATACCATTTTCCTTTTCTGACCAATTTTCAATTTGGTTTGAAATGAAAAAGTAGGCATAATATTTCAAATCAGAGAGAGAACCATGCATGTGATAGGAAGTAGAATGTACATATCCAAGTCCTTCAAGGGTCATGCTTACAATGAAAACCTGGTTTGAGCAAAAATATTTTTCCAGTTCAAGTATTATTTTATTTATTTATTATTTAGAGCATTTGTATCCCATCCTTCTCAACCCCTGAAAGGGGGCTCAGGGCGGCTTACAATTGGCAGTCATTAGATGCTGACAAAGAAACAGTTAGAACACAAGAATTCACATAATCAAATCAACAGCAATAAAAATACATTAAAATATTGACCCTTAAAATATTAACACATCGAAGTCTGAGTCTGCAAATCCAAATCATAACCCAGAGTTTCAGTCCAATGTCTCTTAATTGACAATTCTCACAAGTCATGACATTTGTTGCTCAGTAGTACTTACATCTGAACCACGTCATTATCACATCAAATTATCAACATAGGTATAAAGAGCTATAAATACTAAGAATGTCCTCATTTATTCACCCCCTAATCTTCAGGCACCGCATAAATTTAAGTTCTGATCTTCTGATTACGCCGGATTTCTACTGGGATAGAGAACACCTTGAACAGCTATATGATAAAACTTGTCAGTTCCTGAGTATTAATCGCAGAGTTAAGGTATGTATTTTTTTCTTCCACCCAGAATAATCTATTTTCTGCCATTTTGAGAGTTGTTCACACATTGTTTCTCCTCCAAGAACTCTTAGAATTTTAAACTTTGTTTCCTTTTGTTCTCAGAAGTAAAAAACTACAAATTACCTACTTACTACAGTTGGTCCATTATGTGTGCAGTTTAAGCATTCGTAGATTTGATTATTCACATATTACTATATGTGCTACCCCATGCCATTTTTAGATTTTGATGACAACAGTGTTGCTAGGAAGAAATCAAACTAGCAGCTGGCTGGTCCCAATCATCAGTGTGTTCCCTTTCTCCTGTAGCTGGGAAGGAAGAAGGAGATGGGATGGTAGGAGGATCCATGTATTCTCAAATGCTCACACAGCAGGAGGATGGGAATGACATGAGGGAGGGAGGGCGAGCATGCATGAGTTTGCTCACTTGCGTTGGAAGGTGGGAATGGAGAGGAAGGGGTAGGAAGATGAGCACATGTGTTCACTCACCAATGTGGATGGCAGGGGAATGGGAAGGAGAATGCATGCATGAGGTCATTCATGTGGGGGAGGACATGGGGGAGGAAGATAGAAATGTTTATTCATGCAGGAGGGAAGGAAGGGACAGGAGGAAAGTGGGTACATGTATTTGCTCACTGCCAGAGGCCGTGAAGAGGATAGGATGAGTGTACCCTTTCTACCTTCTCCCCCCCCCCCAAAAAAATCTCATCCCATCCCTGCACAAATGAGTAAGCAAGTGGGTCCACATCCTTATTCATGTGTTAAATATGATTTGGTTGAGCCTAGAGATACTCGTGGAAGTGGAAGACCAACTGTATATATTTGTTTCCATAAAGAAACCTATCTTTAAACACTCTCCTCCCAAGTCTTCTGCATGCACTAGGATCCTGGAAGATGCCGAGCCTTTTTTTCTTTATTTGTTTGGGGACAAGCAAGAATCTGTGGAACTTGTTTGCCCATTTGTTAAGCCAACATGGTTAAAACAACTGGCTTACTGTTCCTGAGCATTGTGGTGTTGCGTAAGCACTTCTCCTGATGATGGGGAGTGGCTAAAGCAACCAGATATTCACTAGGAAGAAAAGGCCTGGTGTTTGTGAAGACAACTCAGGAGTCCTGAATTTGAAATTGGTTTTGGATTCCTGACATGTTTGGAATTGGGAAACCAGAATTCATGGTTTGGAAATGGCATGAGGTTTTTCTTCAATTTAACTTTATGCTTCAAATGAGAGGAATCAAGAACTTGTCAGGCAGAATGCACATGGTTGCTGGATATGAAAAGCGTTAAAACTGTCATTCTGCTTGTTGAGCATATATAGCAAATATCTCTTTCCCCCAGCCTCCCTCTAATTGTGTACTTTTTATTTTACAAGTTGTACAATTCTAGTAACTTTCCTGAAAGTTGTACAAATTTTATTAACTTTCTAGAAAGAGGTTATTGCTACTGGAAGCCTGAGTAATGCGTTTGTAAAAGTCCATCTTTAACAAGGAACCCTGAATTCTCTATAAACGTCTCTGCTGGTCCCAGATTAATTTTTGTCCACTAGTAAGCAGGCCAAAACATTCCTTGCATGCATTTTCATAACATATATGCATTGCTGTAAGAACAGTTTCAAAGAAAACATACCTTTTTATTGAAAACAAAATAACATATTTGAACAGATAATAAATGTCTATTGTAGGTTTACATTATGATAACATATTTCTATATTATCCATTCACATTCTTTACAGATTCATTCATATTACATTATTTTAAACCAACTTTTTAATCTTTGTACAGTATCAGTGCTGGCTTCTCCTTCTTTTACCCATTTCATATATGTTGCCCATTTCTCTTTAATTTCTTCTGTTTTGTCCTCCTGTGAATCTTCTTGGGTTATACATGCAATAATATCTTATTGGACTTGCTCAAATAAATAATTATTCCAATTTTCCATATTCCATTTTTTCATCTCTCCATCCACAGGTTATTACCATCTTTCCTGCTAAGATCATTGCTTATTTATTTATTTATTTATTTATTTATTGTGTCATCAGCAACCATACCATTGTATTTCAATTCTAACAGAACAAAACAAACACACAGATTAAAAAGAAAAGAAAAGAAAACACACAGATTATGCAACTTGGTTGTTGGTTAAATGTCCTTTGACCAGTATCTGGCCACTTGGAGTGCCTCTGGTGTTGCCGCAAGAAGGTCCTCCATTGTGCATGCGGCAGGGCTCAGGTTGCATTGCAGCAGGTGTTCAGTGGTTTGTTCTTCTCCGCACTCGCATGCCGAGGATTCCTCCCTATAGCCCCATTTCTTAAGATTGGCTCTGCATCGCGTGGTGCCAGAGCACAGTCTGTTCAGCGCCTTCCAAGTCGCCCAGTGTTCTGTGTGCCCAGGGGGGAGTCTCTCATCTGGTATCACCCATGGGTTGAGGTGCTGGGTTTGGGCCTGCCACTTTTGGACTCTCGCTTGCTGGGGTGTTCCAGCGAGTGTCTCTGTAGATCTAAGAAAACTATGTCTTGATTTAAGTCGTTGACGTGCTGGCTGATACCCAAACAGGGGATGATCTGGAGATGTCTCTGCCTCTGCCTTTCACTATTGGCTGCTACTTCCCAGCAGATGTCAGGTGGTGCAATACCGGCTAAGCAGTGTAATTTCTCCAGTGGTGTGGGGCGCAGACACCCTGTGATAATGCGGCATGTCTCATTAAGAGCCACATCTACTGTTTTAGTGTGGTGAGATGTGTTCCACACTGGGCATGCATACTCAGCAGCAGAGTAGCATAGCGCAAGGGCAGATGTCTTCACTGTGTCTGGTTGTGATCCCCAGGTTGTGCCAGTCAGCTTTCGTATGATGATGTTTCTAGCGCCCACTTTTTGCTTGATGTTCAGGCAGTGCTTCTTGTAGGTCAGAGCACGGTCCAAAGTGAGTCCCAGGTATTTGGGTGTGTTGCAATGCTCCAGATCATTGCTTTAAATAGGTCTTGATTCTTTGCAGCAACGTCTTTATTCATTATAATTGCCATTAACACAAATTCCATATTAATTTGAATTGTTATTTTGAAAAGTTTCCCCATTTTTAATTATCTTTTCCCATAAAGTTTTTACATTTAAACAATCCCACCACATATATGCATTCCAGCCTTTCTCTACACATTGGGCTTAGTTCAGTTCCCATATTTGCTAATTGAGCTGGTGTCCTGTACCATTTCCAGATAAATTTCCTTTGTAATTCTTTATATTTTTTTAATTTTCATAACTCCCTTCTTTACTTCCTTTATAGTTTGTTTTGTGAGTGGCCCTTCCTTCTGTCATTTGCTTTGTAATGTTCTTACTACATACTCATCATCTTTTATCATCATTTTATATCATTCTCCTACTAATCCTTTCATTGTCTTCTGTCCATTCGTAAATATGTTTTCAAACTCACTTTCTTTGCCTAAATATTTCCCCTGTTTACAAAGAAAACATATCTTAACCTATCTTAAAATTGGTCACACTTCAGATGCTATGAAATTACTTTGATGGACATTAAACTTTGGAAAATAATATTTTAACTCTCCCATCCTGTTTCACATGTGGGCTGGTGCTACCACAGCAGTTTGACTATCAGGGCAGAAAGGGAAGGCTGTGTAAGGTCCACATACAGAAAATGCAATGCAAGAATAAGATGTTATAAATTAAGCTATTTGTCACAATAAATCTTTGTGGCAAATTAACATTAGCTGCTTTTATACTATGTGAGCCTGTGGAGGTGTGCCCATACATTCCATTATACATTTCGAGTTTCCATAAGATTATCCTATAGACCTTTAATAGAAACTTTGATAACAACAAAATTTAACTCTCAGTAAAAAGGTATCACTCTGTTAGGAAAACAAACATCAGGAAAAATGTGGATTTTTGTCCTCCAAGTAATGAACCCCTTATTTTGTTCCTTCCTGATAAACAAGAGCTAAAAGGTTGGTTTGAAATATATGAAGGAGTAAACTGCTATCATATCTTCATAGAAATATTCTGGCATTCCCCTCACTTATTCTTTGATGTTAAGTATGTTCCGAATTACGAATCCGATTGCCCCCCTCCTAATCTCCTGGAATCTTCCCAAAAAGAGGGGGGGGGGCACCAAAAATTCAAAACAAAAACAGAATGGATTCACACACCCCTGTTATATATACTTGGAATCCCTTGTAATGTGAACTGAATTGGATAATAAATGTAATATTTCCATTTTATCCTTCAATCCACAAAATCATCATATAAACCACTGTTGAGAAGATCTAACTCTACGACAATATTTGAAGCCATACTGTCATCTAGATTATATTAGATAACACTTCCATTTGAGTTTCAGAAACCTTAGCTGTCACATACTTCAGCCAGGTTTTAGGTTTCTATTAGTCTCTGTCTGAGCAGTTCAACTGATGATTTTTAACAAGTTGTTTGCCCCAAAATTTCTGCAATAGCAGTTGTTATATTCTTGCTGTTGCAGGTGGTGAATGAGAAGCTCCAACATTGCACAGAGCTGACAGATCTGATGAGAAATCATTTGAGTGAAAAACATGCTTTGCGCTTGGAATGGATGATAGTGATACTCATCACCATTGAGGTTAGTCTGATGTAATAGCTGTATTGGTAACAAACACAATGCATCTTAGTGGATAAAGGTTCAGCTTCAGGTATTTTACAGGCAAATGCCAAAACAACTTTTTTGACAACTTAATTTTTTAAAAAATAACAATGTTTATGTAATATTAATTTTTTCCCTCCTGTATTTGCTCCAGTTAAATGTGTATAGCTCATTTCTTCCCAGTATAACTGTAGTAATCCTGTGAGGTCAGCTAAGCCAAGTGTAATTTACCTACTGGCGCCCCCGGTGGCGCAGTGGGTTAAACCCCTATGCCGGCAGTACTGAAGACCGACAGGTCACAGGTTCGACTCCAGGAAGATTGCGGATGAGCTCCCTCTATCAGCTCCAGCTCCTCATGCGGGGACATGAGAGAAACCTCTCACAAGGATGAGAAAACATCAAAACATCCGTGCATCCCCTGGGCAACGTCCTTGCAGATGGCCAATTCTCTCACACCAGAAGTGACTTGCAGTTTCTCAAGTCGCTCCTGACATGAAAAAAAAAACCTACTGGCTTTCTTTGCTCAATAGGGACAAATCTGGATCACTTACATCTCTGTCCAATACTGTTAATACTCCAAAAATATCCACAGATTACAATTATAAAACTCAGAATTTTATATTTACCAGTTCACAACTTAAATTTACTGAGCATACTGAAGTCAGCTTGATTTTGTCCTTTACAATTAGTTTGTGTATACTTTAGTGGGATTTTGGAAGGAAGTTAAGTGTTGACAGCACCTGTGAGTTTTTGCTCTCTTTCACTATCCTGGAACCATATGGGACTGACTAAAGAGGTTGTGTATTACTTCTTAATTTTCCACACATAAATGTTGTGACTTGTGAAATTCTCCAAAGCCAGCAGTACACATTTATTTTTTAACAATTTGTTTGATAACTTTGTTTTCAGCCTGTATATTGCCACCTCTTTTCCTCGTGTGGTATTTCCTATTAAATACTATGTAGTCTTTTATTTGAATATGAACTTTTTGTATTTGTTTTATCCCACTGTACAGTGATCTGAAATCTCAAAATTCAAAACGGAAGGGAGGGATAAACTGATATCCCTGTGTTAGTTAAATAATTTGAAACGACATGTAGGACTTGCAGATTCATAACCTAAAGGGCCAGGCTTTATCAGAGCTGGTTAATCTCCAGCTGCAGTAAATCTTGCCAACCAGAAGGCTGACAGTTGGAAGCCTGGGTCAGAGTGAGCTCCTGGCCTTTAGCCCAACTTCTGCCTACCTAGCAGTTTTGAAAACAGCCGTGTGAGTAGATAAATAGGTACAGCTTTAAGCGGGGAGGTATTTAAGGGGCACCCATATGGAAATGCCAGAAAAATGCTGGCAATTTGATCAGGGAGGAAATTTACAAACAGAGCTCTTTGGCAGGGAAAGTGGAGCGACAGCACAACCCCCCCCCCCCAGCCTGAATCAAGATGCCAAAGATGGGAAAGCGTATATATACCTCTATGTACAGTTGTCTGCCTTGTCAGTGTATAATGGCATTAAATCTTGCTGTGTATGTGTTCTGTGATCCGCCCTGAGTCCCCTTCAGGATGAAAAGGGCAAAATATAAATACTATAAATAAAAATATCAACAATTAAAAATACAGAATATGCAGTACATTTTGTTTGTTTTTCAGGTCATGTTTGAACTTGGTAGAATGCTTTTTTGACAATAAATGAGAGCCAGAAATTTTGACAAGCTTGTGGAGATACATCCCAAAGCCTCGTTTGATGGAATTCTTCAACTTTATTCTTCACACTTGTTGAAAGTTCAATCACTGTTGTAATAAATATATGGACACCTGGTGCTTACAAAATAATTGAAATTTGTGGATGTAGAACAATTTTTAAAAAAATCTATTATATTGGTGGAACATTGTGGCTTAAAAGTAAATCATTCTTTCTATAAATGCTTATTTTCCAGAATCTCTATGCCTGATATTTCTTTGGTATGCTGCAAGAAATTGTGCAATAAAGAATACAATCTGACATTTAGAAATCTTAATACATGAATGGTATACTTTTTACACATTTGACACATTCAGCAACATTTTATAAAGCTCTTCCCATACTGTGTGCACATGAATGTTGTAAAAAATGTCTGGATTCGCTATTTTGTGGCAGACATACAGCTTTGTGACCCCTTCACTCCTTGCTTCTACTATGGAGATCTTCAAATTTATCAAATTCCTTTTTCTTATAAAAATTCTAATCAAATTTGAAAGAGTAAAAATTATTTACAGATGATGAAGAGAGCAAGTCACTTCACGGTCGATCAAAGGATAACTAAGCTGGCCCTCTTAATTTGCTTATCAATTAATTTAGTAAATGGTGAAATAAGTATAATTTTAGATTGCTGGTAATGTTTCTCATAGCCAAGATATTAACTGCAATTCGCCAAGTTCCTGAGAAATACATAAGCCCAACAGCTCGTTAACGTGAGCTCATTCTGTCCCTAATATGTAGTGTTCCAAAGTAACCTGCTCTGAGACATAGGGTTTCTACTTAACTATCATGGCTAATGATATTTATTAGACCCAACAACAAAACAATCAAAATGCTAAGTGCTCTTTTGAAACCAGTATTTCTCCATGGGGGACGTTAAAAGTAATATCACTCCACCTTTTCCCATTGCATTTTTTTTTCAAAAAAATATTATAGTTGCTGGAGAAACTGCTTTTGAAAGCTCTGCTCTTTTGATTAGTCTAATACAAGGGACGGTTGGCCTGCTACATCCATGGATTCAACCATCCATGGCTTGAAAATACCTTTAAACATTCAAAAGATAAGTCTTGATTTTGTCGTTATATATAAGGGACACATAGAATCATAGAATCAAAGCGTTGGAAGAGACCTCATGGGCCATCCAGTCCAACCCCCTGCCAAGAAGCAGGAATGTTGCATTCAAATCACCCCTGACAGATGGCCATCCAGCCTCTGTTTAAAAGCTTCCAAAGAAGGAGCCTCCACCACACTCCGGGGCAGAGAGTTCCACTGCAGAACGGCTCTCACAGTCAGGAAGTTCTTCCTCGTGTTCAGATGGAATCTCCTCTCTTGTAGTTTGAAGCCATTGTTCCGCGTCCTAGTCTCCAAGGAAGCGGAAAACAAGCTTGCTCCCTCCTCCCTGTGGCACAATTTTACTAAATTATATACAATGGCAATTGAGCATCCCTGACATTTGGTATCCATGGGAGCGTGGTGGTATCCATGGGAGCATGGAGGTTAAAAGTAATATTATCACTCCATCTCTTCCCATTGCATTTTTTTTTTCAAAAAAAATATTATAGTTGCTGGAGAAACTGCTTTTGAAAGCTCTGCTCTTTTGATTAGTCTAATACAAGGTACAGTTGGCCTGCCACATCCATGGATTCAACCATCCATGGCTCGAAAATACCTTTAAACATTCAAAAGATAAGTCTTGATTTTATCGTTATATATAAGGGACACAATTTTACTAAATTATATACAATGGCAATTGAGCATCCCTGACATTTGGTATCCATGGGAGCGTGGTGGTGGTCCTAGAACAAACCTCAGTGCGTACTAAGGGCTCACTATACTTGTGATTTGTTTTACATTCAAGACAATATTCATATGATTAAATAATGATAGAACCGCCATATAGTCTGCCCTCGCTATCCAGATTCAACCACTCATGGCTTAAAAATAGTCCAAAATATTTATTCCCAAAAAGCAAAATTTGCTTTTGCCATTTTATATAAGGACGCAATTTTACTATGCCATTGTATAGTGGAACTTGAGTATATCCATGGATTTTGGTATCCATGGTGGTGGTTCTGGAGCCAAACCCTAATACCAAAGTAGCATTGTATGTTGTCCAAGCTTGTCTTCACTATGATTCAGATTCGTTTGCCTTGTTAAATTAGTTATGAATCTGGTGGAGCATATTTTATCAATCTTAAAAGCTACATCTGAATCAATTAGGTATCTTCATTACAACAAAAATGTACTTTTATCTCCCAAAACATCCATACCTTTCTATACCTTTTGTCATCTTTTATAAATTAAACTTTCAACTTATCCTCTCAAGAGGAAGATTCTTGTGGTCCTTTTGTTACTATGTACAAGGAAGCGGTTCCTGTGCGAAAGCGATGCCTGGCAGCTGTAATGGACTGGATGAGGGCAAATTGAAGCTCAATGCTGCCAAGACAGTTGTAAGACGAATCTGGGAATAGGGAATCAGCCTCTGTTAGATGGGGTTACATTTCCCCTGAATACACAGGTTCGGTTTGGGAGTACTGGATTCGGCTCTAAACCCGGAGGCCCAGGTTTCACCAGTGAGCAGGAATGCTCTCAGTTAAGGATAGTGCGCCAACTGTGCCTGTTCCTGGAGAATTCAGATCTGACCACGGTGGTACATGCCTTGGTTACATCCCTGTTGGACTACTGTAATGCACTCTACATGGGGCTGCCTTTGAAAAGTGCACAGAGCAGTAGCCGGACTGCTAATGGGCTGGCTACAGGGAGCAGACAATTCCTCTGTTGTGACAGCTCCACTGGCTGCCAATACATTTCTGAGTCCAATTCAAAGTGCTGGTTTTGATATACAAAGCCCTATATGGGTCCAGTCCAGGTTATCTCAAGGATTGCAGCTCTTTATATTAACCTGGGAGACATCTACAATCTACTGAGGAGGGCCTTCTCTCAGACCCACCACCCTCTCAAATGAACTTAGTGGGAACACAGGAGAGGGCCATTTCAGAGGCTGCTCCCAGACTGTGGAACTCCCTCCCAAGACAGCAGGATGGCCCCATCCCTGCTGGCTTTCCACAAGCAGGTCAAAACCTTCTTCTACCAACAGGCTTTTGGGGAAGGGGAAGGCTTTTGGAAGATTTGGTGGGATTGAGAGGATATTAGCTTTAAAGGCCATTTTAGTGTATTTTAATTCTGTTTGATTGGTTTTTAACTTTTGTATTTTCTTTTCTAACTGTCTAGTGTGGATAGATGTTAGCCCACTTGAGTCCCCATGGATAGAAAGGCGGGATATAATGATAGTAATAATAGTGTTCAACCACAATAAGACCACAATGTACATGATTGTGCTTTCTGTTTCTGCTACTCTCAGAGGTACAGTCAATGGCTGGCACTGCATTTGTCATACACAAGAGGCTGAGTGAATGCCTTTTTAAAAAAAATATTACACACAAATCCAAAAACACTCCATGTTAGCAAACAGACCTGGGACCCTATCTTAACTGTTTACTGGCCAGATGCAATTAGGCACTACCCATCTCAGATGCAGGAAGGCAATTTCCCATTCCTAAAGATGACAGCAGGATGACAGGAGGCAAGTGGCTCAGGTGATTTAGAAAGGGCCACATTTCTTCAAAGCATTAAGGATTCCTGTGATGTAGTGGAAAATATAGCTGAACTACTTAAAAGCTGTTACATTACTGAAACTTTTTTTTGTTGAAGCACTGCTTGGCTTAAGTTTTGGAGGTTATATTTTAACATTAACCATAAATAAGAATCCCAAAAGTCACAAAACTCTTAAATCTAGGCTAGTTAATAAATATTTAATGCCAATGTTTAAATTCAACATCCAAGCCACGATGTTGGCATGACTCTTTGGTTCATCTGAATTTCTTTCTTCCATATTTAACCCAAACTTACAATTTTCCATGTACTTGATAAATGGATCTTAAATGTAAACATTATTTATGGCCACTTCACCTGCCAAAGCCAATCCAGATTCTTATGGTTCCCCAAATGTGACACACAGAATCCCATTACGTTTTCCCAATTTTGGATGACTGCAACCTGAACATTTCCAGCATATAGCTGCCTGCCATCATAAATTCCTTTTCCCATTATGCCTCAGCCCTGGAGAGCTTAAGGACAGCACTGCTTGTTGTAAAGGAGATAAGGTCCCGTTTCTGCTGCTTCCTTCCTTAGGGACCTCCTGCTGACAAGAGCAACTGCTAAGCAATTCAGGTTACAGTGGAAAGGTTGGAGGATTACTAGAATCTTGGGGAGAAATGTTTCCATAACTGTTTGTCATTGAATTGATGGGTTAAAGGGAATTTATGTCGACAGAAGGTTTACAGGTGATATAAAAGGGCTGGCAGTATTTTTTGGTTAGGGGATTCCTGAGATGACTTTTAATGTGATAATACTGTAAAAAGAAAAATAGTTTCAAACAAGTGATTCTGTAGTGGATATCAGTTTCCACCTTTACCTTGCATCTCAACCTTTTGTCCGCATTGGTTCAGCTTTGGTAGTTTTGTGACATTGTGTTTCTTGATCTGCCATGTCCACCACAACAGCGACTTGTAAACAGGCAGCTCCCATCACACACAAAGGCTGCAGACCCGTTATCAGACCCTTAAGTATACCTGAACAATTCTGTACCCACAAATAATTCCAAGAGAAAGATGTCAAAAGCATGGCTGAGAAGACAACTCTCTCTAGGACAGGAATAGATGAAATCTAAAAGAAATATGCAAACATGGCTTGAAAAGGCCATAATACTAAAAGATGTACCATCCCAGAAATACTGAATCTACAAATGTTTCTTAAACTCTTGAAAGAAAATAATATACGGTATGTAAATACTTACTTGCCAAAGCAGCAACTTCAAAAGTTGTTGCACAAAGTACCTCTGTGTTGTGTGGCTTATTATGAAATATAAATTCTTTTATGTTAAACAATTATTAAAATAGTGTACATGATGACAGTTAAACAGCATGTTATTTGGCAGCTGGGGAAGTAGGCAGTAACAAACCAACAGTAAAACACTGATAAGGTATATTTACTGTGTAACATGTGGAGAGAAAACTTTGTATCTAGAAAAAGAACAAGCAACCATAGTGTCAGTTTGAGGAAAATGGGATGTGTGCACATATTGCAAATAGGCTTTCAGAATATCCCTATTCTCTGGAAAAAAGAAGATCTGCTTTGAGACTATTAAAATCAGTGTAATTAAATATTTAGTAAACATTTTGTAACACTGATATCAGTGTGGTACATCAACCAGCACAAGCTGCACAAAAACAGTTCATCTCAGTACAGGCAGTCTCCGAGTTACAAACATCCGACTTACAAACTACTCATAGTTAAGAATGGGACTGAGACACTAGCAGGCGAGAGAAATCTAATCCTAGGAAGGGGAAATAATGTCTGGAAGAGTTATCATGGGGAAAAAGTGTATCCACTGAAGTTTATCACCAATCCTTGTTTCAACGAGCCTCATTTTTCAAAATCTAATGATCACAAGGACAGAAAGTGAGGTGAATTCTTCTAAATGGGGACACAGACAGCAAAGCAAACACCAGAGGTGTTAACCCTTTCCTATGCTACCTAAAGCTTGTGTGTATATGGCAGGATTTACTTTAAAAATGTACATGTTCCGACTTACATATAAATTCAACTTAAGAACAAACCTACAGAACCCATCTTATTCATAACTTGGGGACTGCCTGTATTTAGTTATACTCATAAAAATGACCTAATTTGGGGACCCAACTTGGTACACATAGAGGATATAAATCAAACAGATAAATATTTCAGATGGAGTATATGCATGTAAATGGAGTAGATGTATATAAATATTTCTAGCAAGAAGCTGCTAAATGTAGAAACAAACAAGCACATCATTGCTTGGTTTATCCAGCTTTTTCCTGAAAAGCTATCATTGCTAGTTCCCATATTTTAATGATACATGAACGGATATCCTCTGATTGAGCTTAAGGAATGGTTCCTTCTACTAACATTCAGCAGTCAGTACTGCTCAAAGGGATATTTATGAGGCAGCATTGACTGATGTCCAAATAATGTATAAGCTTCAAAATGCAGATGTTTTGAAACTGACACCTGCCCCCATAGAATGCTCTGAAGGGGTCCAGTCTTGCTTATTAAAAGCTAACCAGTCAGACCTGATCAGTGTGTACATCAAGTACTGTGTGAGTTTTGTAATTTAGAAATTTTTCTCAGAATATCCAGCTTTTGTTGAGTATTGAACAATTATGTATACTAATTACTTTGTATTTAATACTTCCCCTGGAAATTACTGTATTATTCTTGCTTTAACTGGTCACCAAAGAACCATACAAATAGAAAGACCAAAGCACCATATATTACACAAACCAGAACTGCATTTAAAAACTGGATATGGGAAATAATCTAATTTGCTGAATTCCACGGGGAGCTCTTTTATTACCACTATTAAGCTTGCAATACCTTATCTGTTCTGTGCTTTCAGTAATTCCTACAGGAAGCCATAATCCAGATGTCTTAAATGTCCTTCCTGATTGAGAATGAAGTAATGTTCCAATACTGATATACATATAATGATCTGAACTTTCTTTTTTAAGGGTACTGTATATGTATTAATTATGATTAGCCCTTAAGCTATTATCACCATACCAAACAACAAAGCTTGATACAACTGAATAAAACTCTATGTAGTAAATTAAATAAGATACTTATAATAATAGAGTAAATAAATATGATAAAACTGAATATATACATCATATTTTCCATTCCCCCCCCCAATTTACCCTAAAAAAGGGGTACTGTTAATGAGGTTGCATGAATACTTAAGTCATGGTTCCCTTCTTCCTTGCTAAACAGCAATTTCAAGCAACCAGAATGCAGCTTGAATCCTAAAACATAACAAAACATTGAAATACAATGTGTCACTAAGAATGGTATACTTAAGCGTAAAACTTTTCTGATCCACTATACTTATGATGAACTCACTGTAACCAAGGTAGAACTAAGGTTTGTAGAGAGGAGCCTATATAGCACACTTGTTCTCAAATTTAATAAGAATAACAGCAAAAATGACTTTTATAAATCATGACAACGTTCTGAAACTAAAGGAGCAATACACTTTCCTTGGGAAATACCGTTCCTTGATAGTAAAGAACAAAAACACATTTTCCAACAGTTTATTATAATTAATGTATAAATCAAGAGCAACATTTTTATTAAAACCAAACTTTATTAAGAAATCAAACCTGCAATTTTATACACACTGAAATAATTCATTGTTCAACACAGCTTACTCTCAAATAGTAATGAAAGTATTTTAAGTAAAATATTCTAGGTTTTCTCTTAGTAATGCTACAAAAGTAAACGCTAATAATGTCCATGGCTGTAGGCAGAAAGGCAATCCAGAAATGCCCTGCTTAATCCCCTAACAGAAAGCAATGCAGTGAGCTAGTACAGATTCAGTTATTTAAAAATACTCTGGATATCTTCTCCAAAATATTTATCTAGCGAGAAAGGAAATTATACATTATAACTGCAACTTTATATGAACTTAGTGGGTCTCCCTAAACTGGGCTGGCTGAACAAATATGTTCTGCACCCCCCGGCTATTAGAATAGTTCATACAATAACTCTTTTACATTTTAAGTAACAGGCCTCCAATTACTCACAACCCTTGCCAGCAGAATCCTATTCATTTTGGGGGATATAGCACTGTTTCAGATTAGGTTGATACCCTTAGTACTATTATTGTTTTTTTGGTTTGTTGTTATTCTTTTTTTTAAAAAAAAACAACAACTTTTGTTCCTAGAATCTCAACACTTCCATTGTGGCACGCACAAAAGTAAATATTTTGGACTGGAATCTAATGCTGCTTTCCATCAGGAGCATGTAAACATCAAAAATTTTAACAGAAGCTAAACTAAGCATACATAACTGCCCACAGACTAGCATATGGTTGGCATTAACAAGTCATATTCTGCAAACTAATTACAACATGAAGATACTGGTTTAGATTTGTTTCCAATTTATAATACCATATTGAAACCTTTTTTCATTTAACTTATTCTGGGTTACTGTAACAACACAAAGATGGAGGCCGTATTACCTGTCCCTCTTACTGAAAATCTTACTGTATAGTACTATAAACAAAGTTTAAATAGCTCCCATGAAAAATACTTTTAATAAAGTGATCTGGAACGAAAAGCAAGAGAAGCATCTCTTATCATGAAACCCACATTCCTTCAAAACTGTCCACATGGATGGCCAAATTGGGTCAACTTCATTTCATGCACAAAATTGCTAAAAGTAGTGCATAATATTACTTTTAGGTTATTTACATTGATTATTTATATAGGATGTACATGAAACAAACCAATTTTGTGTTTAGACTTGATCCCATCTGGATTTATTCCAAATCCCAAAATAAGTAATAATTATTCTATTCATTTGTATAGCGTTTGGCAAAAGCCCCTTTCCCCACAGCTGAATAAAATCCCACGTTATCTGCTTTGAACTGGAATATGTGGCAGCATGGACATTTCTTGATCCCATCTCTACACATTTATTCCACATCCCAAAGTAAGTAATAATTATTATATTCATTTGTATCTTTGACCAAAGCCCCTTCCCCACGTTATCTGCTTTGAACTGGAATATGTGGCAGTATGGACATTTCTTTTCCCAAGTACTTCGGATGAGGGATCCCCCAGGTGTCTCCTGGATGCTGAGGACGATTTGCAACTCAGCCCAGTGTTTGTTTTGGCCACCTCGTGGCGGCTTCCCCCTCCCTTCTCCTCCTTTCCGACCCGAACAAGAACTAAGTGCATGGAGGCGCGATGGCTGAGAGACGCCGCTCACTTTCCGCAGGGCCGGGCTTCGTCTGCTGCCGGTGCGGCCTGTGCGCGGCAAGAGGCGGCGGAGGCAGGCAGTTGCCGCCAGAGCAGCCCTCCCTTCCTCCTCCTCCTCCTCCTGCTGCTGCTCCTCGTCGCCGCCTCGCCTCCCCTCCCCCTCCTCCCTCCCGCCCTCCCTCCCTCTCTCCCCGGCGGGGGCTCCTCTCGCTACAGCTTCTCTGCTCCGCTCTCGGTCATGTGACCCTAACGTAACCGGACAGGAAAAGCCGCCGCCAGTGCTGCTGCTGCCGCCGCCGCGCTGTCTCCGTTGTTGGCGCTGCTGCTGCTGCGTGTGGAGGAGGAGGAGGAGGAGGCGGCGGGGCTCCCCCCGAGCGTACGAGCCAGGTGATCTCTTTTGCCTCTTCCCGATAATATCCCAAGATCGAGGGGGTGGGGGCGGGCATGGCGGCGTCGGGAGAAGGCCCCACAGCCACCCACCCACCCATTGTGCTGGCGGCAGGGCCCGGCGGAGGCCCTCGCTCCGGGGGGAAAAGCAGAGCCCCGACTAACCGACAAAAAGAACGGCCTCGAGGGAAAGCGAGGGAGGGGTGGTGCGTGGGGGCGCGTTGGGTTCGCTTGAGCTCCCTAACGGGCCCCCCTTCCATGCCATGTTTGCCCCCCCTCCCCCCGCCTGCCTGCCTTCCTTCCCCGCCCCCTTTCTCTGTCTCACCCGCGGCGGCAGCAACAGCCCGGCCTCAAAGGAGGAGGAGGAGGGTGAGGGTGGGGCGCGCGCTGAGGAGGCAGCCGCGCGGAGCGGAAAGGGAGGGGGAGGGAGGGAGGGAGAGAGCGCGAGAGGGAAGGCGGGGGGGGGAGGTTGGGGTGGGCGGCTCCGTCTGCGTCTCCTCAGCTGCCGAGGCGGCCCTGGCGACAGCAGCAGCAACAGCGGCGGCGGCTTCCCGGCTCTCGCGCGCCTTCAGCTCGCTCTCGCGCTGCCTTAGGAACTTACGTCGCCTCGCGCCGCCGTCACTCCTGCCTACGCCACGCCCCCTTCGGCCGGCTTGGCAATCGCAAGGCCTGCTCTGTGTGTCTGTGTGTGCGCGTGCGTGAGGGGAGGGAGGGATTGCGGCGCGCGGGCACGTGGTGGCGCCTCCGCGTCGCCTGCAGAGGAGAGGGGCGGGGCTGTGGCTGGATGAGAGAGGGAGAGAGATTGAGAGCCAGCCGGTGGCGGCAGGAGCTCTAGCCTACTTAGCTCGTGCGGCCGGCACCCATTGGCCAGATGGGCCAGCCAATAGGAAACGCCGGCGGTTTGTGCTCCGCGTGATACAGCGAAGGAAGTGTCCTGCCCTCTGTCTCTATTGGCTGCTCTTCGCCTCCCCTCCCCCTCCCGCCCAGGGCCCTTTTGGCCTGCCTCAGTCGGCACACAAGCGCGAGCTTGGGGGCGGGCCTCTGAGAGGAGCCTGTGCTCTCCGCTGGAGTGGCAGCCATTTCACTCTCAACCTCTGAGCAGCTGAAATGATACTTCATTGGCCCTTAAACGATAGCTGGCCCAACCTGAGGCATTTTACATGCCGTGTGGTATTGTACATGTTATTTAGTTATAGTGTCAGAAGCGAGCTGAGATTACAGTTAAAATGTGCTTAAAAACACAAAGTTTAAAAACTTGACATGATGCTTAATGTCTTTTGACCAGGATCTGGCCACTTGGGACTGCCTCTGGTGTCGCTGTGAAAGGGCCCTCCATTGTGCATGTGGCAGGGCTCAGGCTGTATTGTAGTCGGTCAGTGGTGCCCAACCTTTTTTTGACCAGGGCCAGTGGCGCAATGGATAACGCGTCTGACTACGGATCAGAAGATTCTAGGTTCGACTCCTGGCTGGCTCGGCAAAATTTATTTCCTGCTTCTTGGCAGGGGGATTGGACTAGATGACCCATGAGGTCTCTTCTAATTCTATGATTCTATAACTAGGGACCAGTTTGACTCAGTTTTTGGACAACTTTAGATTTGGTTTGGGGTGTTGGTTATGAAAATTGCATTGAATAGACCACATCAGCTCTAGTTTCTGATACAGAACATATGCCATCCAGTAGTTGCCATCTCATTGCAACATAGTAGCTCAGACTGCATTGGAGTAGGTGTTCTGTGGTTTGCTCTTCTTTGCACTTGCATGTCGTGGACTCCACTTTGTGGCCCCATTTCTTAAGGACTTCCAGCATTGTACATGTTGAAACTGCAGTCTTCTTTGACTTCCATCATCTGAAACATCATACTGTACTTTTAAATTATTATCTTCAGCTCTGCCTGTTTTTCAGTCTTGATTCGTTTTCTTGTGCTCAGTGGTTATCCACTATGGTTTGGCTCCAAGGTACACAAATCCATGAATTCCCAGCTCCCTTTAAAAAAAAATCCCTTTTAAAAAAATACAAGAATTTGGTTTCTGAATTTTTTAACAAAAAGTTTTTCAAGCAGAGGACTGAATGTGCTGCAAGTGTTTTTGTCCTGTCATGTGAAGACATATTGCCACATAGCTATTGGGATGTTTTCCAGAAATCCCATATTTATAAACTTTTCAGAACAAAATGTAGATGTAACCTCCTTCCCATTACAACTATGGATTCATGTGCCAGGTATATTTTGAACATTTATCCCATTGAAATTCAGTTGGTCAAGGGAAGGATATTAGAGGCAAAGATGAAGTACTTTGGCCACATAATGAGACAGGAAAGCCTGAAGAAGATAATGATGCTGGGGGGAAAGGAAGAGGGCCTGACCAAGGGCAAGATAGATGGATGGTATCCTTGAAGTGATTAGCTTGACCTTGAAGGCGAATCATTGAGTTGGAAGAGACCTTGTGGGCCCCTGTCAAGAAGCAGGAAAATCACATTCAAAGCATGAGGTCACGAAGAGCCAGTGCATGAGGTCATGAAGAGTCGGAAGCAACGGAACGAATAAACAACAAAATTTACCTCACGTGAGGATTTTAAATGAATTTTAGTTGACCACTTCACAGGGAAGCTTTAGTAGTGCCTTTATGTATGGCAGAGGGTTGGTCTAGATTCCTTTTGGGTATCATTTTCAATTCTTGCCAAGACAAGTTGAATGTCCAGATCTTTTGTTAAATTTAAGGGAATTATATTTTATCGGTTTTGTTTACAGATTTTAAAAGATGGATTTAGCGAACCATGGACTTATTCTGCTTCAGCAACTCAATGCTCAGAGGGAATTTGGCTTCCTTTGTGACTGCACAGTTGCAATTGGCGATGTCTACTTCAAGGCACACAAGTCTGTCCTTGCTGCTTTTTCGAACTATTTCAAGATGTTATTTGTTCATCAAAGCAGGTAATTATAAGCCTATTTTTTCCTTTTAAGAAAAGAGATAATCGAGATAGAATAGACAAGAAATGACAAAGTGTTAAGGCATTCCTGTGTAAGTGAAATTGTCTGTCTTAACTAACTTCCAGCTTGTTCCACAAATTAGTTGTGTCAACTGTAATTTAATTCCTGGGCACTTCACTGCAAAGTTTGGAGCAGATTCATTGTGGACCCAGTTCATAGACTGTAATCCTGTGAGCCATAGCTTTCCAAACATTTCATGTTGGGGGCACACTTTTCAGATATTCATTATTCTGCGACCTACTAATTTCTTTTTACTACCAAACCGAAAGTTAAACCAACCCCTTTTAGGAGATATGGACACATACATATATGCAATAATGAAATGTAGAAAGGCAGATGGTTTGTAAGGTAATAACATGCATTTCCAAGTTTTCTGGCATTCTGTGACACACCTACATATCTTTTTTGTGTCGGGAGCGACTTGAGAAACTGCAAGTCACTTTTGGTGTGAGAGAATTGGGCGTCTGCAAGGATGTTGCCCAGGGGATGCCTGGATGTTTTACCATACTGTGAGAGGCTTCTCTCATGTCCTTGCATAAAAAGCTGGAGGTAACAGACAGGAACTCACCCAACTCCCCAAATTCAAACCACTGACCTTTCTGTTAGCAGTCCTGTCAGTACAACCCATTGCGTCACCATGGACTCCTACACATTGCAACCAACATACTAACGTCTCATGACAGACAGTTTAGAAAGCTATGTTGTAGACTGTTTTATTTGAAATTACAGTCCATTTGCAGCTTTTAAACTAATTTATAAATCCACAGTAGCAGTGCAAACAGTAGCTTGAGATGATGACATCTGCCTGACAGAGCAGACAACACAAGTCTTTCTGTCCAGCTACAACCTTCACTTCTGGCTCTTCCTCTCAGAAAAGGAGCTTGGTGGCTGTGTTTCCTTTCTGCAGTTCCACCATTGTGAATAAAAATACTTTACTTCTGATACAGTTCCCAGAATCCGGTCTACAAAAAATGGCTTGTTTGGAAGGTGCTTCATATGTGTTAACTCTGCAGTCTGCTGAAAGTTTCTTTGTCTATCAGTTTATCAGATATATAGCCCAGATTTTATGCTATTGAATATATGTAAGATCTGCTTTAAGGATCCCATACCCAAATCAACTGTCATTTGTGGGGATGAGTATATGAGCCTAAAATCCATGCCTGGACTCACCACTACTAACCAAATATTGTGAATTCAAATAGCAAATGAAGAGGTATGCAATTGGAGAAATACAGTAGGTGTCTTATCACACTAAAGCTGAAAGAGTAGGTAAAGAGTATCAATTCCATCTGAAATCCTATGGCTGTTTTCTTCCTGCAGAATTCTGGGACTTGTAGTTTAGTGAGACCCAGGACCTCTCTGGCTGAGCATTTTAAAGGCTCCTTCCCTAAGCTACAAGCCCCAGAATTCTGCAGGAAGAAAGCAGCCATAGGATTTCAGATGGAATGGATACTCTTTGCCTACTCTTTTAGCTGTATTGTGATACCAGCCTAATGCATGAAAAAAGTGTGGTACTGCATCTTGTGGTTCATGAACCAATAGGTTTTTCTCCCATCTGCTATAATGTTCCTTCCTAATACTGATTTTAGTACAAATAGCATGTTATGCCTTTACTAACATCTAAAAATATAAAGAAGCATTACTATTTTTCCAAAGCATCAGTAGTGCTTAATACAATTTTAAATATTCACACAATAGTCATAGTGCAGAGGATTGAATTAGATGGCCCTTGTGGTCTCTTCCAACTATGATCTGATTCTACTTTTCTAGTGAAAAATGTATCTGCTTAGACATGACTCAGGGGGCCGTGCTCCCAATTAAGTGTGTATAGACTTGCAACTTTGCATACTTACATTGTTATAGTTTTGCATGAATATTTAACCTTGTTCCTAAGTAATTATTCAAAATTTATTTCAGTGAATGTGTCCGTTTGAAGGCAACTGATATACAGCCAGATATTTTCAGCTATCTTTTGCATTTGATGTACACTGGGAAGATGGCACCTCAACTCATTGATCCAGTTCGCTTGGAACAAGGAATAAAGTTTCTGCATGCATACCCATTGATTCAAGAGGCTAGCCTTGCCAGCCAAGGTAACTTTGCACATGCAGAGCAAGTTTTTCCGCTGGCATCTTCGTTATATGGGATTCAGATTGCAGATCACCAGGCAAAAAACCCAACAAAGGCAGCCACAGCAACTGACAAACCTGTTCGAGAGCCAAGGCCACAGCCGAGAGTAAGCCAAGAACAGGTGCACGAAGCCCCCCAGGTGTCCCAGTTACCCCCAGCAGCTCTGCCTCAAGTGCCCCAGACAAATATGGCCGCTTCTGACCAGCTGCAGCCTTCGCTGTCTCCAGAATTGGCATCGGCTCCTTCTCAACCTTCTCCCCCAGGAGATGAAAACAACATGGAGGCCTCTTCTTCGGATGATCAGCCTGCTTCCCTCACAATAGCTCATGTTAAGCCAAGCATTATGAAAAAGAACGGAAGCTTCCCCAAGTACTATGCTTGTCATCTCTGTGGTCGACGGTTCAATTTGCGAAGCAGTTTGCGTGAACACCTCCAGATTCACACTGGAGTGCCCTTCACGTCTAGCCAGCATGGCGAAAGCAGTGTTCCCTTGTCTCTTTGTAATAACGTACCTGAGAAAGATGCAATGGAAGTGGCTGAAACAGGTATGATCAGTGACAGTGAGCTGCAGCAGATCTCAGATTCACCAATCATTGATGGGCAGCAGCAGGCAGAAACACCGCCTCCCTCTGATATTGCTGACATAGACAACTTGGAGCAGGCAGATCAAGAAAGGGAGGTCAAAAGGCGAAAATATGAATGTTCCATTTGTGGGCGCAAATTCATCCAAAAAAGCCATTGGAGAGAACACATGTACATACATACCGGCAAGCCTTTCAAGTGTAGTACGTGTGACAAAAGTTTCTGCCGGGCCAATCAAGCTGCTAGGCATGTATGTCTAAACCAAAGCATAGACACCTACACGATGGTGGACAAGCAGACTCTGGAGCTCTGTACTTTTGAGGAGGGCAACCAGATGGACAACATGTTGGTGCAGACTAACAAACCCTATAAATGCAACCTATGTGACAAAACATTTTCCACCCCTAATGAAGTTGTCAAACATTCGTGCCAAAGTCAGAACTCTGTCTTTACACTAGAAGAGGATAGATCTATTCTGCTTGGAAGTGGGGATACTGAAACCACAGAGAGTGACCATTCTGTCTTAGACTCCATCAAAAAAGAACAGGAAGCAGTGTTGTTGGACTAACTCTGATATAGAAGTGATTTTTTTAAAAAAAAGCTAAAAACATGTGTTTTATTCTTTGTTTTTGTTGTTTTTTACTTAACCTATCCTCCTTCCCTTCATCCAGCCATAACTATACTGACATGAAAGAAAGTCTGGCTCTTGCCCTTTTTTCTCCCCAGCAAAAACACAAAATTAATAAAGATTATTGTATGCAAATATAATAATGTATTTTAATACAGAAGAAAATGTGTAAAGGTAACTCAGTTAACTAAGCTGTAATGCTAAGAATGCAATTGTATAAGATTAGCCAGTTTTAAGGTCAAGTACATGTTTGAATGCAGTGAGATGCAAGGTAAACTAAGACAGAAAGGAAACAAACACAGCTTTATCAAAGTACAATTCTTTTATTGCAAATAGACTTTTTAGAGGAAAACTAGCTGGGGATATAGAATTCTAATGAGATGTGTATTTCTCATTTTACAAAAACTTGGAAATTCACTTAACAAAAAGGATACTTTTTTAATGCACAAGTTTTTTGTCAAGTGTTTGTTCCAGGTAATGTCGTTGACATGCCCATTCAAAAAGTGTATTGCTAAAGCTATCAAGCCAGCACAGTGACTTGTTAGTAAGTCCCATTGACAGCAGTAGGACTTAAATCTCCATGTAAATGTGCTCAGGATCAACATTGACTTAAAATAGCAGTAATAATGTGATGGCAATCTTTTATATGTATAAAAATGTGTTTGCGTGTATGTTCTTCAGGTAAATGCAGGTAAATGTATGCACGCACCCTTCCCAATCAAGCTGGCCACCAATTTTTAATAACTGAACTTAACCAATTGATTCTTTTAACAATAATATATACATTGATCCTGGGTGTTTGCATTTTCTGGCCCGGGTGCCGGTGGGGGTAAAATGTACTGTAATCCGAAACAGTGGAGGAAATTGGATTTCAGAAAACTTGTACACAACTAGCAGGAGAAACAGATTTGATTCTTTCTGGAGTCATAGAAAAAGAACGAAATAGATCTTAAAACAGCCATCTGAGTTTACCTGATGAACCTGTATGAATGAAAGGAAAGAGAATCTGATCTTAATATTTAACTACTGGTATCATTTTATAACTGAAAGGAAAATGTATCATGGTTGGTTTTCTTGTAATAGTGCAACACTGAATGGGAAACTGTCCTTTGCGTTCCATTAATTTATGTGCCAACTAGGCAACATATACAGAGAGGACACATAGTGGACAGAACAAATTTTAAATCAAGTTTCTGATTTTTGGATTTCTTTTTTATATATAAATATCAGAATATTCTCCAGTAGTATTTAAAAACCCAAAAGTTGACATGAATAATTTGTACTAGTGTGGAAAATTCAATAAGAGGATCCACCCCACCAGAAACGCAGGAAGAGTTTTGATGAGGGAGAGACAGGCAGATACAGCTCTGCTTTTGTATACATGTTTTATTTGAATATCACCCTATTTTGTGTCTAGTTATGTTTTCCAGTTTGTATGTTTTATACATTATTTCACATAATAAAAATGGTATAAAATCAAATATCTTTATTGAGTCAAATGTGGTTGAAGAACTACAGATGTGCCACTGTACATGTGCGGTAGTTATTAGGCATTTGATCTCAAAGTCTCATCCTGCAGCAAGGGGTTTCTTGAATTAATCTCAGTAGCTTATTCTGAGCTATATCTGCAGCTACAAGTGATGATGGAAGAACTGAAGGCCAATGCAGCTCAGCAATATGAGGCAAGGACACTTATAATGCCGGACTGTCATAGACCTCTTTGGGCAGATTTTTGGAGCCATACAGCCCTTGGCTTAACCTGAGGACAGAAAGCTGGTGCCTGGAATTTTCCCACACCTGCCAGTAGTCACAATAATGAGCTATATGAGAGATTTCACAATAAATGACTGGTAGAATGCTGACCTTAAAATATAGGTTTTCAATGATCTGTGAAAATGTAGCTGTGCCTATTCCTGACATGCAGAAGAGGAAAGATTCTTCAGTAGGAGTCTCTTACTGAATAGGCCTATTTGTGTCACTGTCAAGGCAAAATTTGTACTTGGTGGACTGTAGTGATACATGCAGGAAACACACCAGGCTCCCAAGTTAAAGCAAAGATCTCAATTCAGAGAGAAAGAGAGAAGAAAATCTGAGTAGAATTCAGTTTTCTTCCCAAAAGTTTCTGTTCCTATTCTTCATTTCATTTCCATCTGCTTGAATAGATAAATATTAAGATATGTAAAACATCTCTACATCTGGACCCAGATTTTTTAAATAAACGACTGCTCGAATAAAACCCAGCATATTTTTAAGCAGACTGAACCATTAAGGATCTTTTAGATTAATGTTTTACCATGATACCTTAAATTTTAAAATCTTTTTATCAACATGATCTTAGCTATATTTTATTTACATTGTAAGCTGCTTTGAGTTCCTTGTAGGGAAAAAGATGCAAAATAAATAAAATAACTGCAGGGTTGGTGGCTCCTAGGTCAATCTGAACAATGGATGTATTTTACTCCTGAGGAGCCATCCAAGGACCTGTACCTATCTGGAAATGTCAAGTCCTGCTGTGGCTTTTAAGGTGGTATCAAAATAAATGAACCACTATACCTTAGGCCACTATTTTCTCAGAGAATCCATCATGGCTCAGTGATCTGAGTGTAGAACTAGAACTCCAATCCCCATTCAGCGATGGAAACTCACCTGACAAACTTGGGCAAACCAAATTTTCTCAGCCCAAGAGGAAAATCTCTGAATAGGTTATGCGAAGAAAAACCTGTAATATAATCCTCAAAAGTCTGAATACATTTGAAAGCACATAACAAAACAACATATTATTCTATTAAAAGGATAATAGGAGGGAGGAGGGAATAAAAGGATAAAAGGAGGGAGGAGAGAAAAAAGGACTCTGGCGGTGCTTTTTAACTCACTGGCTTTTATTTCAGCACAAACTTTCGAGGAAATAAACTCAGTTCTTCAGATGCAGTGCAGGATAGCAACTTCCAAGCATTTGTGAATTTAGGGCAAGGGATATGATTTGCACCTGTCTAGATCCTATTGCATTCTATCCTACAACCAAAATTCTATATTATTTATATCTGATGCTTTAGTATCATTCGTTTTAGTATCATTCGGTTGCTTGCCTGTAACTGGTTCTTAAAGTGCTCATCTGAGAACCCACATAGTAGGATTCTCTGCATCTATACCAGGTATGGGCAAACTTCGGCTCTCCGGGTGTTCTGAACTTCAACTCTCACAATTATGGGAGTTGAACTACAAAATACCTGGAGGGCTGAAGTTTGCCCATGCCTGATCAATACAGACCATCTTCCCAAACTTCTAGAGCTAGATCTCTTTGGCTGAGGGCCCACCTTCCTCTGCAGCACACATGGTTAGCAGTTCCTACTCAGACCTCATCCGTTTCAAGTCCTCCAGAACGGCCAGTAACCAGGAAAACTGAGCATAGCAATAGAGGGAAGGTGGATGGGTTGTATCAGTTCACAAATGACCACTTGAAACCCTTTTGTTTTGTAGTCTCTGTGTCTGAAACATAAAGACGATTAACAAACTAGACACATGGATTGAATATGAGAATATTTATGTGGTCACAGAAGCACATACAAGCCAAAGAAAGTAAATCTCTGGCCCAAACAAAAAATCTGTAGTGGTTTATAACGGTTTGTGGCTGAGCTTAAGGAGCTGGGCACACTAGCCAAGAATGCAGATGAAAATTAAATTCTGTGTTAACTTTCTCAGCATATTCTAACAGTGAATGGATTTATTCTAGCTGTCATGAAACAGAACATCTTTTGAGTGGTGTACATCCTGGAATGACTCTTCTTCAGACAATTTTGTCAAGATACGAGCTTATCAACATGGAAGTGAGTCGATTGGCAGAAGGGAAGGCTGTCATTTCCATGAAATTCATTTTAATTACCATACGTTCAACATTTTCACCTAGGGTTACACTTTCACCAATATTTTAAAAATAATTCTGTGCATGAAATAAAGGTTGTCTACGTTGAACCATCAGAATGCAAAGGTGTCACTATTTCAGTCACCCAATGTGAACAATTTCGGATTGTGGTGTATTTAGGATTTTGACATTCCAGATAAGGAATGTTCAACCTGTACTGTCAATACATTTATTTATATTACTTTCCTGAAAAATAGGACAGAAAGTAACTTGAGTTATATAGACATTTCAATAGGCATCCCATGCCCCAGTTCTATCTGTTGATAATAAACCTTTGCTTTCTAGCAAATAATATTATTGGTTGCCTGGCATATTGTTTCTTTTTCAGATCTTGCATGTTACTTTTAAGAAGGAGTGCAGTAATCTACTGAAACCCGTCATAATTGAGAAATTGGTAGAACGATTCCTTGGACTCAAGAGCATTACACTGTCAAGGTTAGGTTCTGGATGGCTTCATATGCCATTATGTTTTTCCTCACAGAAATAACTCTGAAAACCAGTGGTTCCCAACCTGTGGTCCATGGACCACCAGTGGTCCGCAGTAATGAAAATGTGGTCCATAGCCTCACCACTACTACACCGTTTCCTCGAAACCATGTGGCAACAAGAGCAACTGGCCTCGCGAAACCCTCTTATAGTGCTGAGGCAATGGGGATGTCGGGAGGGGAGAGACTGACAACCCATGAAAGACTACTACTACCATATCAGCTCTAGATTAAATATGGTTTTGTGTGGGCGAGCATTTGGTGACTGCTCATAAGCATATATTCTGTATCAGAAACTAGAACTAATGTGCTCTATCCAATGCAGTTTTATGAATCAACACCCCAAATAACCAAACCAAATCTAAAGTTGGCCAAAAGCCGATTCGTAACCCTTTTGGTACTAATGTTGGAGAGTGGTCCCTGGTCAAGTGGTCCCTGGTAAAAAAAAAAAAAAGTTGGGAGCCACTGCTGTAAACACTCCCTCCTCCCCAGCTATATTGTGTATAAAGTATAAACAAAAACAGATGTCATGAAGGAATAATTGTTCACTTGGCCCTAAATGTGTAAACTTTAAAGCATATTCCCCCGGTTTTTATACAATGTTGGAGGCACTCTGCTCAAACATAGAACCTATCAGTGTGACTACACAGAGGCTATAAGAAACAATGTATGACTATAATAAGAACACAAAAAGCATGAATTGTCTTTGTATTTTATTTAGTCCATGAAAATCTACCTTAAAAACAACATAGAAAATCAAAATATCAGTTAATCCGATACAATGGATTAGAAGAAACTGCAAAAGCTTGGAGTTGTGGCACAAGCTAACATTTGCAGCATTGTCTGAATATTCTGAGGCCAAAGCAATACACTGTAATAAAGCAGTATCTGTGTATGGAGACATGCTCCTTGCACCGTGAGAAAATTCTGTTGGTGCTTGTTTTGAAACAAGTCTGTTACAAGAAGGAATATTGGTTATTTGATTTGTGTCTGCATTGCTTCAAAAGGCCCTAGATCAAAACGTTTTAAAAAACAAAAACAAAGAAAGAACTAAGCACTTGTCCTCCAATTTCTAGCAAACAATAATTTACATTGTGATTACTAGGTTGTATTTAAATGACGTTTAGTTAACTTTACATATTTATTAACAGCCTTGGTGCTATAAAGATCACAACCAGGATTACATAGCCATGCCGTTCTTTGTTTATCATTACTATTATTTAGCTTGTTGCAGCTATTGTAATATGGCTTTCTGCACACGGATTACAGTTCATATAAATACCGATATGTCAGCAGTAGAACAGGGCTTTAAAATTCACATTTTATGGCTGCCAAATACAAAATAAACTTTCAGCTGGAGTCCACTAGGCCACAAAAAGGAATTGTATGGGGCACCTGTTAAGAGAGCAATTTAAAAGTGGTGGGTTACATACAAGCAGAGTCCATGAATCTGACAGATTTGTTATAAAACACATAACAGACTCATGAAAATCATACAAGGAGTGGATAGTAGGGCTGCCCTCTTGGCTGTTAGACATGATGGGCCTTGCCTGCAGAAGTTCAGATCTTAACTGTTGGCTACACCTGAACAAATGCAGACCTCTTCCCAAAAGGGTCCTGATGGCACAGCAACGCACATTCAGGACTCTCCTCCATAAAGGGCCATAAGATGACATTAAATGTCCATAGCCAGGGCCAACAATATGCCTAATGTTAGTGATGAAGCCAAGAGGCACGGCTCCACTGCATATTACTAGTCTGACACCTGCCTCAAGTGAGCAATGTGTGAAGTGAGCAATCTTAACATTTGGCAATCAGAACAAACTTTGCAGTTCATAGACAAAATCAGGAAGTTGCCTCTAGGAAGGAAGGAAAGAAAGAAAGAGCTTCCCTAAATCATTGTGGGACACACATATTCCTAAAACTTTTCACATTTTTACATTATAGACACACACATGAAATATTTCTAACTGATTCACAAACAAGTTCCTACCTGTGATCCCCCCCCCCCCAAATGTTTTGGGCAGAAACAGACTAGACTACATTTTAACCTCCAAAATTTCTTAAGTTTCCAGCTTGCACTAAACACACTGAACTTTCTCACAAATTGATTCATACTATGATGGCAGGACTAGTGCTTGGAAGAAGACACATGCTAATTGTACACAGAGTGCTTTTCATGGAGACCTATTTGTTGTTGAGCAGCTCAAAAGTTGTAATAGAGAAGAGATTTTGTGGGCTACCCTTCAAGTGGAGCGAAAAAGTTACTAGTGTTGAGTTTTTTTCTACCTATCATGTCTTACAGGACCCCAAAACCTGATCCTAATCAGAGTAAATTAAGCTTTCAACACTAGGTTGCACAAAATAGTTGGAGTAGTGAAGGTGGAGGCTACTTTGGGGAACCCTTGTAAGGAGATACTTAATGTTTCCAGATTTGCAATTGAAAGAATTGTTTTCTCTTTAAATCAGCCTAGAAATTGGGTGATGTGGAAGTAATAATTTGTCACTGCTGCTGCAGAGGGACAGAGGGGATGAGAAGATATATCCATCCTAATGGACACTAGGAGACATACATGGATATGTCCCCACCACTGAAGAGGTGCCAGCAGTGATAAGCACTCCGTGTCCGTGTGATAAGCACTATTTGGCCAATTAATCATTGGTGTATCCTCTTCCTACCTCCAGCAGTGATGCTTAGTAGTTTCTCATAAAGCAAAAAGATCACTTTCCTTCTGGTCTTATTACTATTCTGACTCTTGCCCTAATTCCCTAACCTCACTGATCATTTTAAAAGCAGAAAAATATTCCTGCTTATCACTCTGACAACTCATTAAAAGAAAAGAAAAAACCCTATAATTACACCAAAATAATTTAGTGACCTTTTGTAATGAAAATTCCAATTAACAATGGCATGGAAACAGTAGTTGTAGACATGTGTGAAGAAAATGGCTATTCTGTTTTCTTAGAAGCATGTAATTTTTTTTTACATTTTTAAAATACAGCTTTATATGATAACATGAATTCACCTCTTGAGCTGTTCTATTTCCTTGATGTTCAAAGAAACTCTGTTTCCAAACTGTTGTAATATTCACAAATCAGGTACTTCATCACAGAACTGCACATTGTACTATGCTAATAAGGCTGCATTTTTATTATAGCTGCAATTAATTAGCAAAGGTGTTTCAGATATTATGCAATATGAGTTTAAGAAACTCACATCTCTTTTATATTTTATTTGAGAGAAGACAAATATTAGCCAAATGCTATCCAAAACAACCAAGTGTGAAAAGCAACCACTAGATGGTGCAATCACACCAGTGACATTTTTCTTTCATTACTTGCGATGCAGCCCCTAAAAGATGACATTCATTTGGCTCATTCACTTCATTTTCAAATAAATTACTATACAGGTAGGGCAAGAAAGTTGCTGGACCATGTGACAGGCTCAGCTGAATAGGTGTAGAGACAAAAAGTGCAATAGAACTTCACCCCCTAGACATACTTTGTGTCTAGAAGATCAAATACTAAATGTTTTGAACATTTCAAATTACTATTCAGTTATTTAGCATTTCAAGCTTGCCCAGTATTATGAACAATTTAAACTGGCTGTACTAAGAACTGCCATTTTATACTGGGAGTAACTTTGCTCAAGGCCCCCTAGTTCTCGTTTTGTTGAAAAAAATTAATTAAAAGTGCAAAGCTAAGTATAAGCTAAGTCTTTTATTAAAATCACTTTTCAGAAATCACAATTTACTAAATGTACATAGGCATAATGAAACACTCTTTCCTAACCAGGGGATAAAAATACAGAGCAGACATAATCCTTTGTTCATCAAACTTTTTTTTTCGTAAAGAACTCATTGTATGTAGGTATGTTCCGGAAACATACTAAAGTTTAATGGAATCATATTATATTTTTCTTGACAGGTTAAAAGCAGCTCACCGTTTTGCCTAAGTTGTGATATCATTTCTTTAAATGAATTATATCTCAAGGCTGGTGAATAGTCTGATGTGGTCACTTATGTGTTTGGCTTTGTAAAACTTCTCCCATTCCTTCAGGTGACTAAGAAAAAAGGCTGTCTTTAAAACTGCACTCAAATACAGACTCAGGCAGGATTAAGGACCACTGGGTTGAATCTATCTTCTGTTCAGCTGATTTCTACTTAGAATGTTCTCAATCACAGAAGGAAGAGACAGATAACTTTGCAATTCCTCTTTCCCTAAAACACCCAGTGTTGTTCACTTTGCTCTCTGGAATATACTTTGAGAGAGCACAAACGATGGTAGAAGAAGGAGAAAACTAACAAAGAGTACCCCCCCCCCCCCACAAGGAACCTTTACATCTATGGAAGGTGTAACCTGGATCCAACTAATTTTAACTATTCTGTATAAGCACACACCAATCTCTAATTGACTGTAGCCCAAGGGTTTCCAACACACATAACAGAAGCAGCACCATTCTTACAGAACATGAAAAGAGATGACTATGTTGGCACCAGTGCTCCAATGACTTCTGGGCATAGTTTTTACGGAAGTAAGGCCAAATACAGTATTAAGCACTGGTTATCACATCCATCCAGTGGACCCAATTCAAAGCACTTGTAAGAATATTAGTATTCATCTGTAGCTATTTGTCACTCACTCACAGTATTTTTCCTACAATTATAGGGCAAGAAAGGTGAGAAGATAGTTTTCTTTCTGTCCACATAGAGAGGAGGAAACATACATGAATATCAGATATTGCTTGAAGATATACATATAAATACACGGAGAATTACAATCCAGTTTTTGGAAGCACTGATAAAAAGAGGAAGCTTAAAAGACACCAACTTCTTTCCCAGCTTAAGTTATGGATGTAATTTTATCAATACATAACACTTCCTGCCTACTCACACCCATCCCCTTACTACCAAACAAAACAAAAAGTGAAAAGGAAGGAATGAAGTGTTGGGGATCAAAAGAAAAGGAGGTGACTCAAGCTCCTGATGGTACTTCAGGATTGTCAGGTGGCTTTCTCAGAAAAACACCAGGAAGCAGTGGTCTGTTCTCACTGATCAAATTCATTAGTCTTCAGCCAGTTCAGAGGAACCCATCCTCTTCTGATGCCTTCTTTGGGAACTAGTCCCTTCAAGCATAAGACATGGATTTCCATTCAACTGTGGAAAGAGAAGAAAAAAAATAACAAAAGATTTGCTTCTGAGCCTCTTAGCCAGAGTGACAGTGGCATTAAGTCATCATAAAGATGTATTGTAATCGCAAAATGAGCAAATCACCACAACTCCTCTTATACACATGACTTCAATATATAACATTTAAAAACTTTAATCCAAAATAAAAAGAAGCAACTGTGTATCTCCTTAATATTAACTTTTGTATACGAATATTTTAGGTGAAAATTACTGTAAATCATCTTGGGGAAAATGTGGGATATAAATTCAGCAAATAAGCAAGCCAGCAAATAAATAAATATTCCCAAATGGGCTCCTCCAGTTTAGAATTCCAAAGGACAAATCAAACTCCCTTAAAGATCAAACTAAATGGGATACCATTTCTACAATTAGAAAATGTGTGAATAATGCCCCTTTTAAAAGTAATATGGAAAGAGACACCAACATAGGTGCACTGGAGACAGAAGGTTTCAACATTTATCAGATTCATGTCAGTAAGGCCCTTTGAGAGGGCCCATGACCTTTTTGCAAACAAACTAGACAAATGTGGGCTAGGCAATACTACTGTTAGGTGGGTCTGTAATTGGTTAAGCGACCAAACCCAAAGAGTGCTCACCAATGGTTCTCCTTTATCCTGGAAAGAAGTGACTAGCGGAGTGCCGCAGGGTTCAGTCCTGAGCCCAGTACTTTTCGACATCTTTATTAATTATTTAGATGAAGATTTACAGGCCATGTTTATCAAGTTTGCAGATGACGACACCAAATTAGGAGGGATACCTAATACTCCAGAGGACAGGATCAGAATTCAAAATGACCTTAACAGATTAGAAAGCTGGGACAAAACTAACAAAATGAATTTTAGCAAGGACAAATGTAAGATACTACACTTAAGCAGAAAAGATGAAATGTAAAGATACAGGATGGGTGATACCTGGGGCTTGACAACAGTTCATGTGAAAAAGGTCTTGGAGTCTTTGTGGACAAGTTTAACATGAGCCAAAAGTGTGATGCAGCAGCTAAAAAAAAACCAATGGGATTTTTGGCTGCATCAAAAGGAATATAGTGTCTAAATCAAGGGACGTCATGGTGCCTCTCTATTTGGCTTTGGTTAGCCCTCACCTGGAAGCTGTATCCAATTCTGGGCACCACAATTTAAACAAAATATTGAGAAGCTGGAAGGTGTCCAGAGGAGGGCGACTAAAATGATCAAAGGTATGGACACCATGCCCTATGAGGAGTGTCTTAAAGAGTTGGGCATGTTAACCTGCAGAAGAGGAGGCTGAGAGGAGACATGATAGCCATGTATAAATATGTGAAAAGACATCATAAGGATGAGGGAGCAGGCTTGTTTTCTGCTGCACTTGAAACTAGGACTCGGAGCAATGGGTTCAAATTTCAGGAAAGCAGATTCCACCTGAAGATTAGGAAGAACTTCCTGACCATGAGAGCTATTCAGCAGTGAAACTCTCTGCCTTTGAGTGTGGTGGAAGTTAATTCCTCGGAAGGGGTACTTTGATTGGGCTTTTCCTGTATGGCGGGGGTTGGACTAGATGGCCCACATGGTCTCTTCCAACTCTGTTATTCTATGATTCTATTATTCATTCCTTGCAGCGTAAGAAGTTTCTATTGGAAGAAATAGGAGTAAGCAGGTGGGAAAAATGAAGTCCTCTCAACCATGGCCATGAGGGTCCTGATAACATAAAAGTCATCCCACTGCTCTTTACTCTTTCTTTCTTTCTTTCTTTCTTTCTTTTTTTGGAAGACATACAACTGCTAATCGCTTGGATAATATCATGAAATTAGTATTTTACTGGTTAAGAAAAAAAAAAACCTGAGGCCAAATGTATTTATTATCCTGTCTTTCTCCCAAACACAGAATTTAACATGGTCCTTTGGAGCAGTGTCAGGAGTGGGCATTCTGTGCTTATTATCATCCTTCACAACTGATGGCACAGAGTAGTTCAGGTTCACACCAAAATCTCAACACATTTTAAAAGTCACAAGCTGATAGCCCCAACTTATGTGCACCACAGTTTATCACCAAACTAGAGTCATGGGAATTCTTAAAAGAACATTTCTAACACTGCTCCAGCTATATATTTTTCAAAACTAAAAACTGTCTACATTCCACATCTATATTTTTGTTTTTGATGGAAAATTAGCCTCTGCTTCTGTTGGGCACCCCTATCAGTCTATCTGTTAACAGATTTACTATAGAAAGAAATTTTATCTACTTCTCTTCTTACACTGAATATGTCATAAAACTGATGATTAATAGTGCTTCTAGCATATAAAACTGAGCATGTGGTCATGCTTCTGCCACCACCAAACTTCCCCTTGAGAAATCAGCTAGGACAATATTAAATTCCAAGTAGCACAGATATATTTCATTGTAAATAGAGTGCCTCTGGTAGGAACCTGAAAAACTATTGTAGCCAACTCATTTGTTTTTAATTTTGTCCCCAACATCAGAAATCAGTAGTTCAGATTTCGGCATATTTAACTTGAACTTCTCCCAATTTCAGGTTTGTCAGTACTTACAGAAACTTACAGGTGTAGTTCTTGAAAGCTAGTCATTGAATACACAGTACACAATTATCCTGCTGATAAAATGACTCTGAAAATAAACTCAGGAAGTAAACCATTGTCAATAAAATATGAAAATGAAGCAATACTTACATGAAACCTCAGGATTCTGTGAGCTCTAGTTTTAACTGTGGATTCTCAGGGGATGCACAGTCCTGGTTGTTTACATCAATCTCAGAGTGTATCTCCATAAATCCTGTTGATAAGCTGTGTTCTTCTTTCTTTTTCAGGGGCATTTGTTGCTGTATTAATTGTTCTTGGATCTGTCCCACATCCATGTCCTTGAACTTTGGTTGATCTGCTTCAAGTGACTCTTTGGGTGGATGTCCTGCGACAACACTTTCCAAGGAAGCTCTCTGAGATTGTGAGGGCAAAGATGTGTCCACTGCAGACTGACACTTCAGTTCCCCATTTTCTTTCTGCAAACTTTCTTCTTTGACAATCTCTTTCACAGCTTCACTCATAGATCCAGAGTCTTCCACTAGTGTGGTCAACGTGTGTGACTGTTCATCTTCCTGTGACATGTGTTTTATTTCTTTAAGATCAGCAGCTGTCTTTCTGGTACTTGAACTTCTCCCAATTTCAGGTTTGTCAGTACTTACAGGCATTTCTTCTGTTGCTTTGATGGCTTCTTGTTTCTGTAAATCTCCCTGGATTTCAGATTTCTCTGCTTGCAATGAACATACTTCAGTCTGTTCAGATTGTGATGCTGGCTCTTCTGTTTTCTCCAATTTATCAACAGCATTCTGGATGATTTTTAGTACAATTTTTGTACTTTGAGACTCTATAGTTACAGACTGAACAACATCTTTTTCAAATTCTATGTGAGTTAAAGATGGGCTGCTTGCTGGAGATGCCACCTGTTTTTCAGCTTCTTGGCTAGTCTCAGGTTTTTGAAGCTTCGTTTCAGGGATGGAATCAAACCCACTTTTTGAGAGGAAATCATCTTTGGCAGAACTTGCTTCTGATGGAACTGGCTCTTCCACATCTGAACTTGTCTTCTCAGATCCTCTCTCAGTACCAGGAGCCCCATGTCCTAAGAGATCAAAGCTCACTTGCTGTATGACCTGGAATGCTGTTTCTTTTGTTGCTTCTAGTAAAGCTTGTGTGGTTTCAGCTGATTTTTCTGTAAGCGTAACTCTTTCGGTACTGCCTTGGTCTTCAAGGTCTGTTGCTGTTACCGTTACTGAAGATTTATGAGCTGCATAATTCTGCACTTCTGGAATGTTCATGGTGACAGCCTCCTGTTGCTCAGCAAAAATCTCTTGCTGTACTGGAGCTGCATGAAGTACGTCCCCACCAGCAAGTTGAATGTTTTCTGATGATTTTTCTGTTTCCATCATTGGCATTTTATCCGACATTACTTGTCCTCTCTGACAACTATCTGAAACTTCTGTAGGCTCTGAAAGCGGACGGACTGTTTCCAAGAGCAATTTATCAGGACATGTATGAACTTGTACAGGAATCTCATTGATACTTGCTTCTATGTCATCTGCTAGAGTACTATCTCTTACATTTTCCAAAATGCCATCTGAGGCAAGACTCTTTAAATTTCCAGAGTCTGAGGTAAGAATGGCTCTATCTACTTCAGTGCTTCCAAGTTCATTTATTAGTGTTCTTACTGATTCTGTTTCAGCTGCTACTTCTTTTTTCACAGAATCCCCAGTTGCTTCAATTACCTTAAGGACCACGTCTTTTGAGTCTGAAAGGATGTCTTTCTTTTCACTCTGAATAGAGTCTTCTGATGCAGAGGTGTTCAATGATTTTAATATTTTTTCCTCTTTCATAGGAAGTGCAATGTTTTCTATCTGCATAGGGGTATCAGTTACAGTTTCTTTGGTACTTTTTAATTTCATAACAGTGTTGTCCTTGAGGTCATTACTTTCTCTGGCTTCGGCTTCAATACTCTCTGTGATTTGTGATTCCAATTTAAGGTTGGCATCTTCTACAACAATTTGGGTTGGATCCACTTTGTCCTGAGTAGGTACTGAAACCTCCAATACCCCTTGTTGCTGAGTTGCACTTTGTTCTGTTGATACCTTTTCTAGGGGAAGAGCAGTATCTTCTCCTTCGTTCTTTAAATGTGCCTCAGAACTCTTTGATTCTAAGGAAATGGCAACACTTTTTGTCTCTCCCTGAATAGGAACCCCAGTCATTTCACTCGCCACAGATTCTTCCTCTGAGACACATGTTGTCAAATAAGCCACTGCATCTTTCACCACAGATTGAACTGTGGTGAAAGATTCCATCTCCACTTTTTGCATGATCTCATTTAGTTCTGGCTGTTTTATGGGGGCTCCTGCTTCCACCATTTCTTCTGACTTTTTTTCACACACCTTTGCTTGTTTCTTCCCTGAAATGACCTCCAAATCAAGCTTTGCATCTGCCTTCTCTAGCAGGGGGCCTACATCTGTTTTATCTTGTTGGGTCTCAGCTTCTGCTTTTTCTATGGGTGCTTCAACTTCTGGTTCTGTGGAATGCCCTGTATCTTCTTTCACTGGAGGAACCCCCATTTCATTTTTTTTCTTGGCAGCGTCTGCATCTACTTTTTCTACAAGGAGCTCCATATCCATTCTTGTTGAGGGCAGTTCCTTCTTCAGATTTTCATCTGTACTCTTTGATGGAGTCAATATCGCTCCATCTAGCTTCACATCTCCTTTCTCTGTGGAAGAGTCCGCATCCACCTTTGAATCTACTTTCTCTGCACAGATTTCTGTTTCCACCCTTACACTTGTCTTCTCTGTAGGAACTTCGGCTTCATTTGCACCTTTCTTCTCTGTAACAACTTTCACATGCACCTTCACATCATCCTTTTCTGTACTGGCTGCTGTTTTTAACTGTTCAGCATGGGGCTCTAATTCCATCTTCTCTTTGAGTATTTCTGATTTCACTTCAGGTGTTGCTGGGAGCATTTCTTTTTCCACCTTTTCTGCATCTGATTCTACAGCCATCTCTTCTGGACAGAGATGTGCTTCTGTTTCTTTTATGTGTTCCTCAACACCTGCTTTTTCTGTGATTGACTCTGTTTTTGTCTTCTCTATGGGAAGATCTACATCCATCTTTAGTTCTGAATTTTCTGCCAGTTCTTCTGTTCCTCCACTCAGTATCTGGCACATATCCTCCACTTTTTCTACATGGCCATTTGTTTCCACTTTCTGCATACTGTCCTTAGCCTGTATAATCTTCTCGTCATCCATCTTTCTTTCACATATCTCTTTTCCCACTATTTCTGCATGGATCTGTGTCTTTAAATTATGCTCGGGTTTCACATCTTCTAAAGATATCTTAGTTTCTAATTCTTGCAGTTGGCCCTCAGGATCTATTTTCTGTATACCGGTCTCAATTTCCACATTTTCGACAGAGGCCTCATTTTCTTTGTTCTGAATGCTAGCCTCAACTCCAACTTCCTTTGTGCTTTCTGTTCCTAAGCCAAGTACAGCAGCTTTGACCATACCCATATCACTAACTTTGCTTTCATCATCCTGCACTGGAACATCAATGATCTTGCTCTGGATGGGTGCCTCAGGTACAACTGTTTCAGCGAGTGGAGGCTGTATTAGAAATTCAGAGTCTTTTATTTCATTCTGTTCAAGAGGCTTTTTAACGTCAACTTCTGGTGTTTCTATATGTTCTGCATCCAATACAGGTGTGACATTTGCCACCTCTTCTTGCTTCTGAGAGAAGCTAAGCTTGCCTTCACATGTTCCTTTTTGTAATTCTTGCACTTTTGAAATATCTTCTGTAGCCTTACTTTGCACTACTTCTTCCAAAGGCACTTTAATTTCCTCTGCTGAACATACACTATCACCTTTTTTTAATTGTTCCAGTTGCTTTCCAGCTATGTCTTCAATTGTTGCTTTTGGCTTCTCTTCAGGTGTTACTGTAACAATAACAAAATCTTCTTCTTCTTCTTCTTCTTCTTCTTCTGATTTAACTTCAGTTGCTTTGTCTTCAGCAATTTTTCTAGGTTTTTCTAATGTTTCTTCTTTAGTCTTTGAATGATGACACTCATCAATTTGATTCAAAGTTTTTATTTCGTCTGAATCTTTTTTCACTTCAACATTCATTTCATGATTCTTCTCCAACACTTCCTTCAAACCACTTTCTTTAATTTCAACTTGCTTTTGACCACTTTCTATGCCTTCAATAATCTGGATATCAGTCCATTCAGATTCGTCAGTCAATTCTGTTCCTTCGAAGGCAACGGTAATTTCAGTTTTCTGTACTAATGCTGGCTGAATTATTACTTCAGAAGTGGTTTTACTAATCACTTCTGTTCCCTCAGACATTTTAACTCTTTCAGCAACTTCTTGAAGAATTTCCTGTGTTTGTTTACTCAACTCTAGGTTTTTCTGACTTTCTTCTACTTCCTGCACAGGTGTCGCTATTTCTGTTGTATCAGGAGACTCAGATAGCCTTGAAACGGCTGAAACCATTTCAGTTGTCTCTTCAGCACAGGACACTTCAAGTCCTTCTTCAACACCTGAAGCTTCTTCTCGAGCTGTGACTGCTTCTGAGGTTAATTCCAATTCACTGATAATAGTGTCACCACTAATGTCCTTTTTAATTTCTGGCTTAAGTTTAGTGACTGCCACAGTTTCTTCAGCAGTTTTAGTTTGCTCAGCTTGTTTTCCTTCATCTTCATCTGTACATTTGACAGTATCTGTAACAGCAGCTGATATCCATGATGGTGACCTTTCTTCAATACTAGTAACTGCTCTTTCCCCTTCTACTACTGTAACAGTAACTGCATGAACTAGACCTTCACTGGACTGCTCAGTTACTAAAGCATCTTCTGGCTTTTCTGTTTTTTGGTCTGAAACTTTCACAGTTGCATCCTCTTGATTTGTCTTTTGCGCTTCAAATTTCTCTCGTTCGGCAGCTTCATATTCTGATAAAGGAACAACAGCTGGAATATCAGAGTCCTCCTCATTGGTTTCAGCAATTCCTTCACCAGTTCCCTGAATGGGTGTGTGTTCTGGTATTCCATCTGACTTTTTCTTTCTACGGCTAGGCATTAATTTTTTAAATGACACCCAGGATTCTTCTTTTCCGGACTCTCCATCTGAAGTAGAGTACTCTAAGCTTTGAGCTACAGCAGAGTCTTCATTTCTTTCTTCTATCTTTATTTTAGATTTTCTTCTTGCAGTTACTAATCTTTTAAAGGATTCCCATGTGGAAACTCCTTCACCTTCAGATGGGCTTCCAGCTAGTTCTGGTGAGGAACCTCCTTGTCCTTGATCACTTTCCTGTGAGCTTGTAAAAGTTATGTCTCCAGTTGTCTCTTTCTGTGGTACAGTTTCATCTGTTTTTTGTCCTTCTTCAGCTAGTCTTTGTCCTACTTCTTCATCAGAAGATGACGATTTTCTGGTTCTTTTTTTAGATGACCCTACACAAATCAATGCTTCCCAGGATACAGAAGTATCAACTTTTTTCTTGGGTTCATCTGTGCTTTTTTCTAATTTCTGTTCCTCACCATTTTCTTTAACATCTTCCTGTTCTTCACAAGGTGCACTTTCAGTTGAAGACAGAGTAGCACTTTTCCCCTTATCTGGCTCTTCTTCTTTGTCACTTTCTGAAAGCCTTCTGATTCGTTTTTTGGGAGTCACCATTTTTTTAAAAGAAGCCCAAGCTGTAATACTTTCTCTTCTTTTCTCAATATTTGGGATAGAAATGTCTTCAGTTTCTGTGACTTGTGATGTCTCTGCACCTTTTTCTATAGATTCCATTGCTTCTTCAGGGGAAGAAGCAGAGCTTTCTGCCCTGGGATCTTCTGGGCTCTCTGCAGAATCAGAGAATTGTTGTGTTTGTTCTGCTGCTTCACCTGACTTGGTCTCTTCTTTTTTTCCTTTCTGTTTCTTTACTGACAGCTTCTTTAAACCAGAACTTGAAAAAAGCTTCTTTAATGGGCTGCCTTGCATCTTGGCTCTTTCTTGAGATGAAATCAATTCAACTCCATTTGTGATAGCTTCTGGAGGTTTAGAACCTACAACACTTGGTTCTGTTTGCTTTAGCTGTTCATTCACAGTTTCAGGCACAGTTTCTTTGTCTTTTAGCTGTTCATCAGTGGGTTGACTTCTTTGGATCTCAGCATCTGATTCAACTGATTGTTCAAGGACCAGTTGTTCTTTTTGAATTGTTTTTGGTTCATCCTTTTCCACAATAGTACTAAGATCAACATTAGCTTCTGCAGGTTTTTCAACATCAATTTCTGTTGAAAGAGGTGGTTTTGGTTCAGATTTGCCTTCTTCAAATGTTTCAGCTTGTTCCGTATGTTGTTCTGTTATAATTATAGTAGTTTGATCAGACTGATCCATTTTTTCTTCATTTTCTGAAAGATGTGTTGGTTCAATTTTTTCCTCAGATGATTCTGGAGTGCTTTTTATAACTATGAGACTTTCTTGCCCTGGATCTGGTGTTTCCTCTATGGCCAGGTCACGTTTCCCGTTCAAATTTGTCTCTAATTTTTCATCTACTTCTTCAACAGACTCCTGCTTTGATAACTGTTCATGAGGAATTGTGATTTCTTTCTGATGTGTTTCTGCTGTTACATCTTTCATTTCCTTGCCTTCCTTTTCTTCTCTGTTTTCTTCTACTTTCTTATCACTGGCTTCTATGGACGTATCTGCGTGGGCTTCTTCCAATTCTTCTTTGATAGCCTCTTCTTCTTTGGTTACTTCTCTTTCTTGTTCTTGCTTTTCTTTCTCAAGAACCTGTTGTTCCTCTTCTTTAGATTTCCTAAAGCTTGTTCTCTTCCTAAAGCCAGCCCAACCCTGAGTAAAGAACTTTCTAAAAGGCGATGATGTTTCACTAGTCAAAGGGCTGGTTGGAGACTCTGGAGACTTGCTCTCATCGTTTTTCATTTCTGCATCCTGGCTTCCTGCTTCAATAGAGCTTTCCGTTTCTTTTTCAAGAGAAGGTTCTTCTTTCATTTTATCAGTCTGAGTTTCTTGTTCAGTCTTTTCTATAGAGCAAGGTACCTCTGTTTGTGCTGCTTCCTCCATTGTTTCTTTCTTAACTTCTTTATGATCACCAGATCTATCTGATGCCACGTCTGTATCATCTACTTTTACATTCAACAACTGAACAGGCTCTACTTTCTCAGTCTTGTCCTTTCTAACCGTAAACTTGAAACCAACTAACTTAAAGACTTTTTTAAATCCAACATCATTTGATGGAGATTCACCAGGTTGTTCCTGTTCTTCTCCTTCTTCTACTGATGGAGATTGTTTATCAGCATCTTGTACATCCTTCTGATCATCATTTTTATTTGTATTGTTAGTTGATTCTGGTGGTCTGGCCTCCATATTTTCAAGAGACTCCTCTTTCAGAATTACGTTTGCAGTTTCCCTTTGTCCAACTGTAAAATATTAAAAAATGATAAGGTATTAGGGCTTTGCATTATATATAATTCTACAGTAATGCACACTTATTCAGAATTTACCTTCATATTAAAAACAATGTATGCTTTTTTAATTAAATTGTGGTCATAATTAATATGTTTTTAAGAATACATTATTTTATTTATTTATTTCATGTCAAAAGCGTTGTATAAATAAATTAGTATAAAACTGATAAAATAGAAGGAACGAAAACAGCTAAATAATTTTATAGCAAAGCCATGCAACAGTGACCATATTGTCTGTAGCTTGAAGCAGTTCTTCAAGATTCCATGATTAAAGTTATAATAAATACTGGAATCTGCTTTGTTTGTGTGACTCAGGAATGAGCAAAAGACATGCCTCATTTAGAACAAACAATTTTACTTATTTTGATATTTAAATAAATACAATCCTAAAACCAAGAATTTCTGGACCATTCATTCTAAAATAAAATTATTTCACGTTAATGATATCCTTGTCAAATAGGCAAAACTCAGTATTTTCATAGAAATGAAATGATTAACTGAGGACTCTTCTACAATGACCATATAATGCAGTTCAAAACCAAATTCAGGCTATGGTGGCCACAAAACACACATTGGCATTGTGTACTACAATGCACATTTAAGGGATAAAGAGCACAATAAAAAGTCCCAGAAAAGCCTGAATTCAACCAGAAAATATGCTGCAGTAGACACCAATGTATTACAAATTCAGAGCACAATTGGCCTCACAGAACATATCCAGGATCAAAAAAGTCAGGACATCAGGAATTAGTTAAATAGTTAAACAGGTGGGAGGAGGGGGGATGGCATACTTGTATTATGTATATCTTTAAATGTTTTTCTTTCTCATTTTCTGCATGCCATTAATTGGAACTAGGAAAAGGGGTTTATATATCTGTGGAATGACCAGGGTGGGACAAAGGACTCTTGTCTGCTGGAGCTAGGTGTAAATGTTTCAAATGACCACCTTGATTAGCATTTGATGGCCTGGCAGTGCCTGGAGCAAGCTTTTGTTGAGAGGTGATTAGATGTCCCAGATTGGCCATCAAACGCTAATCAAAGTGGTCAGTTGAAACATTCACACCTAGCTCCAGCAGACAAGAGTCCTTTGTCCCACCCTGGTCATTCCACAGATATATAAACCCTTTTTCCTAGTTCGAACAGACTTCACTACCTCTGAGGATGCTTGCCATAGATGCAGGCGAAACGTCAAGAGAGAATGCCTCTAGAACAGGGGTCCTCAAACTTTTTAAACAGAGGGCCAGGTCACAGTCTGTCAAACTGTTGGAGGGCCGGATTATAATTTGAAAAAAAAATGAATTAATTCCTATGCACACTGCACATATCTTATTTGTAGTGCAAAAAACACTTAAAACAATACAATAATTAAAATGAAGAACATTTTTAATAAATATAAACTTATAAGTGTTTCAATAGAAAGTGTGGGCCTGCTTTTGGCTGATGAGAAAGGATTGTTGTTGTTGTTGTTGTTGTGTGCTTTCAAGTCAATCCAGACTTAGGTTGACCCTGAGCGAGGGCCAGGTAAATGACCTTGGAGGGCCTCATCCGGCCCCCGGGCCTTAGTTTGAGGACCCCTGCTCTAGAACATGGCCATATAGCCCGAAAAAACCTACAACAACCCAGTGATTCCGGCCATGAAAGCCTTCGACAATACATTGAATAAGAGATTTCTAGTTGGGAATGATGGAGGGAGAATCATAGAATCATAGAGTTGGAAGAGACCACATGGGCCATCCAGTCCAACCTCCTGCCAAGAAGCAGGAAAATTGCATTCAAAGCACCCCGACAGATGGCCATTCAGTCTCTGTTTAAAAGCCTCCAAAGAAGGAGCCTCCACCACACTCCGGGGCAGAGAGTTCCACTGCTGAACGGCTCCCACAGTCAGGATGTTCTTCCTAATGTTCAGATGAAATCTCCTTTCTTGTAGTTTGAAGCCACTGTTCCGGATAAGAAAGAAAAGAGGATAAGAAAGAAAAGTAAGGCCCTAACATAAAAGGGAAGAGAAGACGAGAGAGAAATGAAACAGGAGACAGAGGAGAACACAGAGGAGAGAAAGAAGATGAGAGAGAAATGAATCAGGAAAGATTTCATCCACACTGACGATTTAAAAGGAGAAGAATCCTTCTTTGTATTTAGCAGCAGCCCCAGGAGTGGCTCTGGGTTCTCCTCCCTGCATGGGAAAAAGGACAAGATGACGCCTCTCCTTCCATGGACTGAAAGAAGACTACCAGGATGGCCTTTTCTGGGCCTTACCTTAGAGAGGGCCTCACATCCACTGTACCCAGCTCGACCAGGAATTACAAAATGTTTTCTCCACCTCAGCACTACTTCTTCCCTTGACACACACAGACCAGGATCAGTCCCTGGGCCTTTCCATCAGGCCCATCAGGAAACAGCTAAAGGAAGACAAGGACCTGTTCTGGGGAAGGCTGGGGAAAAATGGCCCTCCTTTCCCACCTCCCTCTACAGGAATGGGGAAGGACTTTGTTGCAAGCCTTTCAGCAAAGCAAAGCAAAGCAAACAGCCCTACCTGGAGAATGTAAAAGGAGGACGAAAAGACACCGAATGGTCCTTGGGAGCAGATGACTCGGTGGACAGGCTAACCGTTTGTAAGAGTTTTGCGGCTAACTCTGTAGTGATTTCTTTTCTGACTACCTGTCCCCTGCCACATGTTGCTGTGGCCCAGCCTGTGTATATGTGTTGTGTGTGTGTGTGTGTATGTTTGTGTATTTGTGTATATATGTGTGTTTGTGTATAGAAGAAGAAGAAGAAGAAGAAGAACAACAACAACAACAACAATTTTATTTTTCTATCCCACCTCCATCTCCCCGAAGAGACTCGGGGTGGCTTACATGGGGCCAAGCCCAGGGAACATACAATTAAAAGCAAAGCAATAACAAAATACAATTGTGAGTATATATATATATGTGTTTGTGTATAGAAGGAGAAGAAGAAGAAGAACAACAACAACAACAACAACAACAAAACAACAACAAAACAACAACAACAACAACAACTTCTTTATTTTTCTACCCCACCTCCATCTCCCCGAAGGGACTCAGGGCGTCTTACATGGAGCCAAGCCCAGGGAACATGCAATTAAAAGCAAAGCAATAACAAAATACAATTTTAAAAGCATAAAACAACATAACAATAGTAGACAAGCAACAAAAGAAGTAATTTGAAAAAGGGGGGAAGGAGGCCAATATACGGGTTGATTAAAGAGTAATTGGATTCAATAAGATCGATGAAAATGTATAATAGCATAGGAAATATAAAAACAGAGCAATTTAAAAGGATCAGAAACAATTCAGTTTGACTTACAAAATCTGAATAGTAATATAATATAGGAAATTCAGCTTGAATGATAATTAGGTCATGATACAAGTCGTATGTCATGGGGTATATATGTGGTTTTGTGCATGCGTTGTAATGTATTTTTTGTTTTTTGGCTTTTTAAGTCTCTTCTGCTGTGTTTTTCAGTGTTTTCATGAGTGATGGTCATTTGTTGGCCTGATAGGTGTGTTGTGTCCAAATTTGGTGTCAATTTGTCCAGTGGTTTTTGAGTTATGTTAATCCCACAAATGAACATTACATTTTTATTTATATAGATGAAAGCCATGTGACTAGGCCCAGCTTTCATGACTCTCAAGGATATGAGGCAAAGGTGATATATACAGTAGACTCTTAGTTAATGGGAACTCGTTCAACTTGACCTCTCAAGCAACCGGCAAAAAACTTGATTCATTGTGTTGTCGAAGGCTTTCATAGCTGGAATCACTGGGTTGCTGTGAGTTTTCCAGACTGTTTTTTCCATGTTCCTGAAGCATTTTTGCCTGATTTTTCACCCACATCTATGGCAGGCATCCTCAGAGGTTGTGAGGTCCTGAGATGGTTTTTAAGCAACTTTTAATGTGAATATAAGTGATTTAAATGTTAGTATATATTTATGCTTTTATGTCCCGGCATTGAATGTTTGCCGTATATATACTGTGCTCCGCCCTGAGTCCCCCTGCAGGGTGAGAAGGACAGAATATAAATGTTTTAAATAAATAAATTGGAAACTAGACAAGGTAAGGTTTATATATCTGCTGCGAGAAATAACTCTTGTCTGTTGGAGGCAAGTGTGAATGTTGCAAGTGTGAATGTTGCTGCAAAGGATTTCCCTAGTCAGGAATCAGCTAGGCCTTGAAGCTGCAAGGCTTTACAATGCTAATCAAGGTGATTAATTGCAACTTTCACACTTGCCTCAAGAGTTCTTTCTCCCACCCTGGACCTTCAACAGATATATAAACCCCACTTGCCTAGTTTCCAACACATCCTCAATCCTGGAGGATGCCTGCCACAGTTGCGGGCAAAACGTCAGGAAAGAATGCTTCTGGAACATAGCCATACAACCCAGAAAATTCACAGCAACCCAAACTGAATCACTTTAAAAAAAAAAAAAAGCTCTTTTTAATAATACTCAAAACAGTAGAACAATGGCCCCGCCTGCACTGCCATATATTTCAGTTTGAAACTGCATTGTATGGTCATGTGTAGAGCAGGCATCAGCAAACTTTGGCCCTCCAGGTGTTTTGGTAGGCTGTTAAGGAATTGTGGGAGTTGAAATCCAAAACACCCGGAAGGCCAAAGTTTGCCCATGCCTGGTGTAGACTCATATAATGCAACTGAATTGCATTGTATGACTCTATACTGGGCATATAATGCAGTTTCAATCAGCAGTGTAGATGTGGCCCATGTTACAATAAACTACGTTTCTCTTTTATTTGTCCTAAAAAAAATTAATATATTTTTATTGATATTTTGCTTTGTGAGGGGATTTATATAATTAATGCATGCATGTTGTCTATAATCACATTTCTCTACACCCTTCCATTATCCTCCACCTCCTTCATTCAATATTGTCCAGTCACTTATCTAGTATATCTTAAGAGTTCATTCACTCTTTT